TTGCCCGCGTCACTAAAGCCACTCCGTGGCCATAGTTTGTTAAACTAACGAGTATTTTACACCCCATCATCAACCTAGTACGACTAGCGCGGTCATTGAGAACCCTGTCTCGAATGACTATTCACGAGAGACTCAGTCATGAGTCGAACTCAAACCCTATCTAGGATCGAGTCGCGAATAAGGCTAAGAGCCGTGTATTGCAAAGTGCATTCTTCTCCAAATAGTATGTAGGTGATTTCAGATCAGAACAAGTAGAGCAAAAGTCATCCCTATTTACTTTCATATTCAAGCTGACTCGTCTGCAGCATACACAGAATGAATGTTTCATATCCATGCATTCTTGCTCAAAAGTCTCTATAACCTTGGCCTTCTCAAACTTATTTATAGATGGGGGCATCTTTGATTCTAAATTGGATTTCCTGAAAAAGTGAACATAAAGTTTAGCCAATTCAAAATAAACGATTCTAAAAACTAATCGTTTACAAAATCATTGACTCTCGAAACAAATTGTTATCAAAATCATTGATTCTCCCAACAAATTGTTCTCAAAATCACTGATTCTCAATACGAATCACTGATTTTAAAAACATGGTGCTCTCAGAATCAGTGATTTTCATAACATCCTGTTGTCATAATCAATACTTCATGAATTCAATGCCTCACGTACCTCTCTTGCCTTTCGTTATCTGTTGTCTCTTTTCTTTCTTTACGTTTCCGCAGTGCTTCTTTCTCCCTTTTCTCTAAATTAGCTCGTGCTTCTAACAACTTTTTCTTCTTCGCCCTACTAGCGGCCATTTCTTTCGCCTTTTTTTCGTTAACCCTCATATTATATTGATCCAACTTATCATACGCCAATCTGCAAATTTTATGACCACAACGGAAAAGTCTTCATTTTCTTCAACTTCTTGAAGTATCTTTCCTCACCTTCTCCTTCAATCCAGCTTGTTTTCTCCGATTGTACTTCTTCCTTCCTGGTTTCTTTTGTTCACTCTCCTTCGACTTCTCAATTGCTGCTAAAATCTCATCTTTTCTTTGTTCCCATTCATCCACTTCCAATTTGAAAACAGCCAGTGTATCTTAATTCTCTTTTAGTACAATCTTGTACTCTTCACATCTCTCCTTCGCCTCTTCCTGGTTGCATTTATTCATCTTCATGTATGATTGCAAACAATCCTCTAACTGTTTTGAACTGTCTGCCCGCATCACTAAAAAGCGTCTGCTTTGAAACGTCCATTCCTTTTCCGCATAGGCAAGACTATGACAATCTGCAGGTTTTTGTTTTCGTGGTGATACGCGACTTGGCAATCGAAGTTTCTTCACAGACATTGCAACTGCGTCTTGGTTTCTTCTCTGTAAACAAAGTATTCGCACGCAATATGAGTGATCTTCAGAACATATCGTTACAAAAATCAATTCTTCATATATCAAGTTGTTATATCTCTTTATCCAATTACCTTGATCCTAATTTTAAGTTGATCTGCGAGTTCCTATATCGACCCAATCATTTAGTACAAATCCATCACACCGGAACGAAAACAAAACGACAACTTACCTCCAGCCTATTCTCCAACAAGGCTACTTCAATATCTTCTGCATATTTCTCTTTCAAAGCTGAAGCTGCATGCGAATAATCAGCTCCCGCTTTCCCTTCCTGCAGGTCTAAGGCTGCCGCCACTTGCACCCAGGGATCCAACGTCTCCTCCATTTTCTCTTACTCCTCGTTTTTCTTTGTCTCTTCGTCAGGTCTGTCATCGTCCATTGCATTTCTATTTCCCTGGGATTCTTCCTCAGCCTTGTCAGACTTCCCACTATTCATACGATTTTAGCAAAAAGTGACTGAATTAAGTAGTTTTACTCTTGATCAGCACAAACTGCCGAATCGCCAAAACACAGGCTTTACTCTGTGGTAACTTTTCGGTTGTTTGACTTTTTCATCCCCCTTGCTTGGGAATCATCAGTGCTTGGGCTATTGTGGTACTTATGAAATGAGGTTTATGTCGGCATGCTCCGTATATTTCGTTGCAGGAGTTGATCAGGTTTTCTGGCGATTCTCTGGATCGTTTCAGTATCTCGAGTCGCTCCCTGTTGCATAGGCTGCAGTGTCGTGTCCCAAAGGTCTTGACAGTGCTGATGGGGCCTTGCCATAGGATGTAATTTCGATGCTGTTCCTTTGAATGTCGCCGTTGAGTCGGAATGGTAGAAGGAGATGCGAAGTTTTGGAATTTCGTTGGCGAAGTGTCTTGCGTATGAATCTGACTTGCTGTTTTCCGTAGAGGAGACGCATTACGTCGGTGAAGTGTTGGTTGTTCTTCTTTGACGTTTCGTTGGTTGCCCCAACTTATTCTTTGCCCGAGTTAATGATTTGATGCAGTATATGATCAGTTTATTTCTGCAGCGGTCGTCAAAACGCATTGGCCGTCTTTCTTGTTTCCTGGCTTGCAATTGCAAGTTTCATTTTGAACTCGGTGGAGTGACTCTTTGGTGAGGCTTCCTCGATAGGTCGCCCATGAAACATCTCTCGCAGGTTGTGAATCGATGGTAGGACATAGACGTTCTGATCATTCGAGGCCATGGCTCTTTTGAGGTCGTTGATTACCTTGGTATTGGGGTCGTCCAGGCGTTGGAATGTCCTATACAGAAGAATAATATCGGTTCCGGTTCCTCTTTTGTTGCTTGGCATCTCTATCTGGTTCGTTTTCTTTTTCCTCTTGTCGCTGGGAGTATCTTGTATTTCTTCTTTTAGTGTTGGTATCTCGTCTGGAACCAGTCCAGCTTTCTTTAGCGCCTCGATGTGTAGTGGTAGATTTCATCGAGGGTTTTGGTTGGCATTCTTGTTGGTAACTGTAGTGAGTTTGGCGAGTCTTTGGAACACCCTAGTGGATGTTTTTGAGGCATTGCGTTTGTGTGGGTAGTTCCCCTGTTTAGATATTTCAGTTGTTGGTTCGGTTTAAGGTGGACTCGGAAGTGAAGTTCTTCCTGGTCCGACCAGAACAAGTTCCATATCTAGATACGGGAATGCTTTTCCACTTTCTACAGTTACTTTGGGGTCGGATTGATCTTTTGGGAGTTGTCTTTTGGTTTGGTCTAGCCATATGCTACAGGTGAATACTAGGTAGTCTCCTTCGGCTAGGTTGTTGACTTTAGCCTGAAAATTGGTTCTCCATTCTACTATCATTTCATATGTCCAAGTTCCTTTGAATATCGCAAAACCATCGTCTCTGTAGAGGCCATAGTATGATGTTTCTTCAAAATGATCTTTGGTATTTTCTAGGATGTAGGCTCCTACTAGATCAGACAGCCATGCGGATTCATATCCACCAATGGTTAGTCCTTTCTCTTCTGGATCCATGTCGCCATCATATTCATAGTATTTATCTTTGAATGTTAATAGTGTAGAGTTCATCCCAAATTTGATCATATCTAGGCAGTCATCTAGTCGTCTTTGACATTCTGTGTCAAGGTTCCTGGCAAAGTATTTGACTGCTTTGCGAACTAGTTTGAATCGAACTGAAGGGTAGTAGGCTTCAGCATCGATCGATACTATTGTTGAGTTGCTAGTGTTGACTCCTAGTTTTTCTACTTGGCCTTTGAGTCGGAGGCTTGGATGATTGTTTTGTCCATGTAGTCTATTTTATTGTCGTCTAGGATTCTTTTGATTCCTAGGTATCCGAGTTTAGGGAATGCTGATGTGTAGTTGTTGGCTGGTAAACAAGTCTGTTGGGATCTCCATCTTTGTTGGGTTTCTTGTGATCTTTGATCATAAGCTTGGGTGATGGGATTGCACATGATCTGATTTGTTGGAATGCATGGGCTGATTCTTTGTCTGAGAGGCAGTCTTGCTTCAGTTCGAGTAGATCTAGTGCTGCTTTTGATACCTCAGTTAGCCTTGAGTGTGGGATCTCTTTGGCATTTTTTGCAAGATGTTGTTTGACTTGTTGTATGTATGTTTCGATTTCCATCATTCTGTATGAGTTGGTTTTGTCTGTAGGGATGACAACCTTGTTTAGATTCTTCTGAAGTTTGCGCTGTAGTTTCTTGATGGCTCTGGATTTAGGATTGGTTTGGTGTCCTTTGTAATCCGTGGCCATTTGTAGTACTATCTTCTCCAGTTGTTTGAGGAAGACTTCTACTTCGTCTGAGGCTGTTGGGGCCGTCATGTTGATCTTCTGTGGTCTAAGACCTGTCTTGAGTCCTTCATTGTTGTCATCCGGTTGTTCGTTGTAGATTTCCTTTTCTTCTTCTTTGTTCTCTTCGGTCATTATTCCGAGCTTCTTTGCTTTCTCCTGTTGTTGTTCCCTGTGATAGTGTTTCCACCTCACGGAATCTTTGTATCTTCGAAGGCCATCAATGGCATTGAGAATTACATCGTCGGTGCTTGGTTGTGGGACATATTTCTCACTTATTTCACCTACTAAGCTTTGTACCTCATCCTTCAGGGAGAGATCATAGTGACTGTTCGCTTTAGTAGTATCAGTAGTGCCCGTCTGAGAATCATTGTTCGAGGTAGACGACAACAATAGGCGAACATCTCTGGATAGAGAGAGGATGGCCATGGTGTCGGCTGAAAGCAAAAAAGCAAGCAAAAAGAATCGCTACGGAGCTACCGACACGAAGTTGCTTCTTGATGCTGGTACGAACGTAGATTTTCTCAGAGTGCTTGTGTCATACGATTTTAGCAAAAAGTGACTGAATTAAGTAGTTTTACTCTTGATCAGCACAAACTGCCGAATCGCCAAAACACAGGCTTTACTCTGCACTATTGTCAATATCCGTCGATGTCATCTGCGCATCTTGAATGTCATCTTCCGAATCATCATCATCATCGTCATCATCATCTTCGTCGTCCTCACCATCATCATCATCGCTTCTCTTTCTTTTCTTCGCATTCTTTTTCTTTGCATTCTTTTTTGCTTTTTTCTTCCCTGTGCTGTCTTCCTCCTCCGTATCATCGCTTTCATTCTGGCTTTCGTCCAATTCCTCTTCAGAATCGTCCATATCCCAGTCATGCTTTTTCTTTTCAATCAGAAGTTTCACGTTGTCAACATGAAGTGCCAGAGACATATTCGCCTCTTCCTTTGTGATGCCCAGAGCATTGTTCGTCCTTCCATCACAATTGTTGTGTGAATTGTCAGCCCCTTTCCTCAGGTCGCGCAACAATTTCGAGCTTGGAGGTACTTTACGGCGATAAAGTTTGCCAATCTGCTTCTTATCAAACTTCATATGAGGAGAGATGCAATTGTTCGCCATCAGCTCGCCAATAGCTTCTCCCTTGATGACCTGGTTTATGTTCGACAACCGAATTCCAACCGAAACCAATTTAAAGAAGGTTTCCTCATTGGCTGGGTATATCACTCGGCCCAACTCTGGCTGTGAAAGATTCACTGGCTCTTCTTCAGTATTCTTCAATTTTCAAAAATAAGGTCAGCAACAATTTTCAATGATTTACACAACGAAACGTTCTGAAAATCACTCACCGTTTCCTCAACCCTGAACTCTTCAAGTGGATTACCACCATCCAGCAAACGCAGAGGTACATTCTTCAGACTTGGCGACTGCTTTGTCTTGCCTTTTTTTGGTATCTTTGTCGCAATCACTTCATCCCTTTCATCAATGCTCTTTTTCAAAACCTTGTACTTCTTTGTGTACCTTGACATCTCTTTGTTCCACAAAGGAAAAACAGAAGGATCATCCAAATTAATCCTGCGATTTAGAACATCGAGAGCAAACTCATCAAACCTTGCGAACTCAGGCACGAAAATCTCCAGATTCTCATCATCATCTATCATAATTTCGCCAGTTATAAGATTGTGAAACAAACCATATCCAGAATCCTTCTGAAATAAACGTTGCAAGACTTGAATTTTGTTCGAATTCAAATCCAGATGCGACTTCACTCTCTCTGGAAAAGTATTCAGAATCGCAGCCATTCCAACATTAATTATAGCTGCTTCCTTGCATAGTTCTGTCAAATTCCGATCGTAACCATAAGTGCGAATGTCTTTGGTGTTCGAAATTCCAGGCGGTTTATGTCCTCTGTACATCAGAATACAACAAGTTAGAATTCAATGATTTTCCAAACAAACAGTTCCAACATTCACTGATTTTCAAAACAAACAGTTCCAAGAATCACTGATTTTCCAAACAATCTGTTCCAAGAAGCACTGACTTTACAAACACTCACTCTGTGTACAGCCGATACGTCCAATTCTGTGCTGCTGTCTTTTCCTTAAACTCAACCAGCAGAGGATTGTAGCCCAAATGGTTCACGGTTCGTAATATGTTGCGCGTGATGGAAGTGATCAGACTCAGAAGAATCTTCTTCACCGTTGGTCCTTGGCGTTGCAAACCCAACAATTTGTCGCTTAAGCCAAATTTCATTTCGTCCCTCACTTCAATGAAAGACAAAATAAAGTCCTTAAAGTGAACTTTCGCATTCTTATCCGCATCCTTCGACATCAAATCTTTTTGGACTTTTTCAACCTTCTTCGCCTCTGCAAACAAAGGACAGTGTTTTGGCAGCTGCCATGGTGTTTTTTTCCCGTTCCTCCCTGCCCTTGCACCTTTCCAGGTAAGGAAGAGTTCCAACTTGTCTACCAAAGCACGGTCAAGCACCATTTCGGCCACCCTCGCAGCAATGTACAATACATTATGCTGAATCCATAGAGGGGAAGTCATCATCGCTCTGATCTCGTCTCTTTTCGCCATTTCTGGGTATTGAACGTACTGATTCATGAAATGCCCGCCGTTAAATTTCACCAAGTCATGAACCATCTTCGGTGCAAACATCCCTAATCGACACAATGTGTACATGACTTGGCTCCCATTCTGTATTGTTGCACCATCAAAGGGATTCTTTTTCCGAAACGCAATGTACATTTCCTCTGCCTTTGTCAACTTTGCCTTCTGTTTTTTAGGAGGAACCATCCTCCCGACCACCAGTCTCTGTACGTCCATGCGTCCCAAAGGATATACTGGAGCAATGTGAAATGAATACTCCAAAGCAAGCCAATAGTCTTTTTCGGCCACTCCATGAGGTCGCAACAGCGAATCTTTGTGCTGCTTTTTCATGAAAAGCCGGTATTCCGCGAACCACATCAAGTGATTTTCCAAAACACGCTGTAAAACCATTTCCCATGGGGCCTTCCAGAAACCCACAGTTCTCTTTTCTTTGTTCTTCCCAACCTCAACTTCAAACTAAACCACAGACAATCATTATACGCCACTGAGTTCACAGTCCTTCACTGATTTTCAAAACATTCCGTTACCGAAATCACTCACCTTTAGCTCTTTCAATTCATCCAACTTTCCTTCATCCTCCATGTGTTCGAAAAACTCTGCCAGGGTAGAACGATGCGTAGTCAAAACCTGCTTCTTCCCTCCTTCTGTTGTCGCAGCACCAAACTCTTTGCACAATGCCAGCCATTCCTTCCAAGAAACGTCCTCTGCATTCCAACCATACCTCACACGAGTTTGCATTTTCTCTTGTGTTTTTGAAACTTCAAAATTTCCTTTTCCTACTGGAAGTTTATCCAAATTTTCTTCCAAGTCAAAGTACTTCCTTCCATACCCGTCCAGCGGCACGTCAGGTCCCATGAAAAGTTGTCCTTCGCCAACACACCTCGAAACTGTGAACCGGTGTTGTCCGTCATATAGAAACAATCTCATAGCACTCAAACACCGCAAAAATAAACTCAAAGTGCGAACATTCCAATGATGCGGCTTGTCGTCCTGATACTCGTACAACAAAGGACATGCCTCCTCGATGAATTTCTTCATTCCCTCTTTTGTTGCAATTGGCCATTGCCCAACCCAGCTCAAAAAGGAGTAAACCTCTTCAGGCGAAACACTCTCCTCACTTTCTTTAGGACTCTTCAAATTGAAAATAGACAGACATCTTGTAAAAACTGCCCGTGACAGCTTTCCACAACTTCTGCCACGAAGAACGCCTCTCTTCATGTTCGATCCAATTGACCGTGCAATGATCTTCAGATTGCTCCTAACCACTTCACATGGTTCGAGTTCTGACACATTGCCACACTCCCTCAGTTCGTAGTCCGCAAAACTAATGTAACTTCCCATGTTGAAATTTGTATCGATCCTCGGATACAAAACACTCATCATTAGCGGCTCCTGGAACACTGCTTCTGTTCCCTCGGCTGCATTTGGGTCCTTTGTGTACTCGTAAAAACAGCGATATTCCAGCAGTCGATGGTTTCCGGCTGGTTGATATGGTTGTCCTGAATATTCACCTGTCTCAACAAAAATCGACATATTCAATGAACTTTCCACATTAAAGACCACGTTTTTTATGTCACCCTTTTCGCAATCAATAGACTTCAATTGCAATTCCTTCATTGGCCTATTTTCGTCAACAGGTAATTCCACATTCCACAGATTCTCTAAGGAAGACAAAACAACACAGAGATACTCAGAACACATCGTTTTCAAAATCACTCAACACAGAGATACTCAGAACACATCGAAATCACTCAACACAGAGATACTCAGAACACATCGTTTTCAAAATCACTCTAAACATTCACACAGATTCTCAGAACAGATCGTTCTTAAAATCGTTCTTAAAATCAATCAACATTCACACAGATTCTCAAAACAGATCGTTCTTAAAATCAACACAGATCTTTGTCATAATCATTCAACACATCCGCACTGATTCTCACAACAAATCGTTCTTAAAATCATTCAACATGGCATAACCCTAACCTCATCGACTCTCAAAACAATATGTTATCAGAATCACTACTAACCTGAACCATCTTCCACAAAGAACTTGTCATCCTCCACAAACCTCCCCTCCATCTTGTTCCCATCACATCTTGACATGAACTCTGCAATACATCTTTTCTTCAAATCATCAAACAATACCATGGTGCAATTTTGGCATACATTCTTTATTGCCTTTTGGTTTTCCTCAAATGGAATTTATGAGCTTTCCCTCTGGGAAATTCTCGATCAGCGAAGAGAGCCAGCCAGTCACTCCACGATTTCGCGCGCGCGCGCTCGCACGGAAGTTGAAGTTCCGAATCTGCGTGCGCGCGCTCGTCCACGTTGAAGTTCTGAATTCCGGATTCGCGCGCACGCGCGTCGAAACGTTGGAGTTGAAGTTCCGAATCTTCGCGCGCGCGCTCGCCAAAGATTCCGCGAAAGTTCAATTTCAAGTGTCAATCCGTTTCACATCTTTGACTAAGCTCATAATTTCAAAACAACTAGTTCTGAAAATCACTGATTCTCCCAACACTCAAACTTCATTTTCGAAACAACTAGTACTCAAAATCACTCCTTGTAAGTTTCATTCTCACAACAAACTATCATGGATTGCCAGAACAGGTAGTTCTTAAAATCACTGATTCTCAAAACAACTTGTTCTCAAAATCAGTTCCTTTTCACTAATTCTCCAAACATATCCAAATCATTTCCTTTTACCAATCACTGATTCTCAATTGATTTCCACAACTGGTAGTTCTTCAAATCACTGATTCTCGAAACTACTTGTTCTCACAATCACTGATTCTCAAAACCAATTGTTCTAAAAATCAATTATCATGAGTGAACCTGAAGAAAACTACGCCACCGATGACGAAATCGGCACTTTGAAACAGCCTCCTCCAGCACCTACTAAACCAAGCCATGCTACCACTCCTGCTGCTACTGCTGCACCAGTCCCGGCCCCCGTTACAGCACCTGAAACTCCTGCTTGCAAAAAATCTAACATCTTCGTTTTCGAAATGAAAAGAGGAAAGCATTTCAAATTTGAAGGAGAAGAACAGGCCAATGCCTTCCAGAAGCAGTATGCCATTGTCATCAAAAAGCGTCATGCTTACGTCAGCCTCGCAAGCGCAGAGAAGAAATTCAAAGCTCTCACTGAAGGAACCACTAACACAACTACTGCTGCTCAGGCCCCCGCCCGCAATCGTGCAAACACTGCTGTCGACAATGTCGACAACGATGCTGTTAGGCGCCTTTTCGACGACATCAGATCTAATCAGGATGCTGAGCGCCTTGAGGTTCATTGGCTCACTACTGATACTGCCGAGTTGGTCCTACTCCTTCTCAAGCCTGTTGACCGCTTCCAAGGTGACCCCTGGTACTTCAAGTGTATCAACTACATCAACATATTCAAGAGATGGTTCCAGATCTACAAATGTCCCGATAAAACTATTGAAAAAGCTTTCAACAATTTGGGCACTTCTCCCCGTTCTTGCGACACCGATCCAGAAAGGAAGCAAATTTTGGCTGAGGAGTACAAGGATAAGCGTGGCATGACTCGTCAAAATGAAATCCACCTCTACCACACTTTCGTTCCCATTCCAACCGACACTCTCAACTCTACCGATGAAGAGACTGACTGGATCAAAAATCTCGCCGAAAAGGTCGGTAATACCATGCTCGAAATTATGAAGAAACCTGATTTCCGCTCTTTGCTTTCTCGCCTCGACAAGGATCGTTCGAGCAAGCTCAGCGATACTATCTTCAACGAGAAGAAGGGCACCAACCTACCCAAATACCTCCGCGAGGCTGCGGTATGCGTCAAACCCATCAATGGCAATCTCCAGGATCTCGTTCCCGCCAATATTCAGCTCGACATGATGCATGACCTTCTTACCAGCTCCACGACCACTGCTAAATATCAGGGCTAAGCCGCAGGAAAATCACGGAGTGACACATATGCATTGCAGCGCAGCAGCTAAAATCATAGAACTTGTCGTTAAACCATTCATTTCATACCCGGCCGACCCAGTGTAAAGACCCCTCCGGGGGTTAACTACGGCCGTCCGTCTAGTGTTAACCTCGGCCTCCCGGGCGCTATCTTGCCCTTGTAACAACATGCAGGTATCTATCCTCTCGTCATGGTCGTCAACTGGTGTTTTGGGTGATTTTTTTAGCTGTTTTTTTGAGGTGGGAATCAATCTGTGACTGAAAGTGGGAGCAGGCACGAGCGCCTGGCGCCGTCATGACAGAATCTTCAATCAGCAATCCCTGGCGGCAAGCAAACTTAGTGAAACACAACTGGATACAGTAGCCCTCCCTTATGCGGTGCAGATTGCTTAATTAAAAACAATTGCATCCTGTGCAATGCTGCATGCTGCCTGATAGACAAACAAAAAACTGTACATGTATGTATCGATAACCAAAATGACTACCTCTCTCTGCCGCCGGTACCGTAACTCCATACTTCATAGCACGGCACAGTAGTATTACTGAGGTGAAACCTTTGTGGATGGCGACGTGCCCAGCACCACGTCCAACGAAGCATTCGAAATTCCAAACCCACTCGTCCCCTCCTTGTGGTGGCGTCCATGATGCATGCGGAGGTTCTGAAGCCACGGCAAAAACTGCGTCGCCACGAAAGTGCTGTAGGCACTACCATCCTCGTAGCTCGTTGCTTTCAAATGCAAGTTGTGAATAGAGTAATGCGTCAAATCGTAAAACAGATATCCCGTCATGAAGCCTCCCATGAAACAGTTTGCCGCCGCCCGGCCCAACAGCATGTTAGGCGGAATGGACAGGATGCACGCAATGGCCGCCGCAGGCAGGGGAGGGAAGACCAACCGGAGCTTGTCGGTGGGACAGACGTGATGGTTGCCGTGCAACAAAAAGTGGATGATATTGGCCCAGTAGGTTTCCGTGTGGGCGTGAAAGACAAACCGGTGCAAGGTGTATTCCAAACCGGGCCAAAACAAGAAGCCCGACGCGAACAAGACAGTCGTGTCGAGGGAACTAAAGCCAGGAGACACCGTCAGGTAACAGATGATGGGAATCCAAACCAACGGAGCGGTCCACCAAGGACACTTTGTGAGGGCATTCACAACTTTGGATTCGAAAAAGGTGACGGGGGTGCTGACGCGGTACTCGTGGACCCATGCTTGATAGTCCTTGCCGAGTCTTCCAACGTCCTGTAGGATGGGTTCATTGTTCCGGATTTTTTGCTCCAGAGCCTTTCTCTTGCTTGTAGCGGTGCTTGTAGCAGTTGAAGATGTCATGTTCTATTGTTCTTTTTGTTTTGCTTTCGTTTTGTTAATCGAATGAATTAATCAATCAGACGATGAGGATGAAGGGATGTTATGCGGTTGCACCTTGTTGTTGCAGTATTATAACCCCGGAAGTTGTGGTGCGTTTCTGCTTTTTGCTTTTGGAGTTTGTGGTGTTTCACAAAAATTTCCTGTTTGTTGCAGTGATGGCTATGGTGGCTTTGATAAGTCGTAAGACTCAACAACAGAATATTGGATGCAGTGGCTTGACCGGACTGGCTTTATAGTCTTCACCCTGCGCGGCCCCGAACGATTTTGGGGCGTTCGTTAAGCCTTTGTTTGACGATCTGGTTGTACATTTAGATGGTGCCTTGACAGATTTATACAAATTTGTTGCGAACGCGAATAGACATAATTCTTTGATGCGCCGGGCTGTTAAACATAATTTTTGGAGCAAACGGCCCTGCAAACTCCGAAGTTGGTCCTGCATGCCGTCAGTGGCAATTGATACACCCACAGTGACACCTACCGTTACCGGTACCGCATCTACAGTATCATCATTTATTTACCACCTCTAGCTAGCTAGCTAGCTAGTAGCTAGCTATTAGTTGCGGCGCGCTACCGAGCAATGCTATTAGTAATCCAACAGTGAGCTTTTGCTGGGACCGAACGTAGTCACAAGTCATTCATTTTGCAGACGCGTACAAACCAGAGCCAACAAACTTTATTAAGATACCATACCACCACCACCACCACTCATGCATGGTAGCTACTAGGGGTTCCAGAACGGCAATGGGTCCACCTGTCGCCTCTCGCACCAGCCAATCACAAACGTTCGTGGTTGACGACCTTGGGCACCAGAGCTGGCACCAGTCTGCTCCATCATGCAGGGGGTACCAGGTACCAGTACAGGCTGAATCTAAACTATCGCGACAAACGCAAGCCCGCTCCCGGTAAGACATTCGAATGCCAACCGGAACCTCTTGGAACGTTCCTCGAAAAAGACTTAGAGGACTCTTATTAGCCTCAACCCTAAACTCAAATGACATCACTCCGGAGCTCCGATCGATCGATCGATCCAAGCCACTCGTACACCTCTTCTTTTTCATTATTTCGATACCTCTATCTTTACTCTCTATTGACTCTATCAAGATGATACTATAGCGGCTACTCCTCTTAACAAAGGCTACTACTCACCACCATGACAGGCTCCTCTTGTTTGGCTAGGCTCGAAAGCGACAGCAGCAGCCGTTCTGTCGTTCCGTTCGATCGATTTGGTTGACGACGATCGAATTCCGATGACTTCTTTCCAACAATTCTCCTTTGATACTTTGGGGTGGGTGCTCCAGTCTTCATCCAAAGCCACCCACTCCTCTACCATACTCTAGAGTGAAGATTGAGTCCTGAGAGTGAGGACAGGAGCACCTTTCCCATGGAAAAATGCATGGCAGAATAACAACAAAATGCAATCCAAGCCTGTTTTTTTAGAGAGGGTCCATGACAAACCTTGGAGATAGCTAATGCTTTTGAAGAGGAGTGTCTGTGAGTGTGTTGGGGAGCTACTCCTCTGAAAGCATTAGCTATCTCAATGTATTGGTAAAGCTAATAGCCATTTGGTCAACACTGTTGCCATGGTGATAAAATTCATTTTATTAGCTTCAATCTTTTCTTTATTCCAACTAGTCATTTCAATGCAGGATTCGCGAAATGACCACTTCCGGGTTCCCATTTCCGAAAACCGAAAATAACTGTCAAAAATGCTCCCATTTTGACACCTGTCAGCGGTAATAAAGTCATCCTGTACACATCGGATGTCCCAATCTAATGCACCACAAAGCGGAACGACTCGTGTCAATGTAAAACGGCTGAGCCATTCTTGGATGTTGGGATCAGATTCTTAAAAGTAAGTTAACGTTTTCGACAATTTGAATTCGTGACTTAAAATTACGTCTCCATGAGACGACGTTCCTTTAGGTTAACCCCCTCAGTTGCACTCTGAAATCGATTGGCTCGCGTTTACTGTGTACATTAGTGTACCCGCACTTCAGTTGCAGAATCAACGGTCATGTGTATCGTTAAATAAAAAGTTCCCTTTCGAAAGATTTAGATTGATTCGTGGAAAAAAGAACTTTCTAAGGTTAAGGTTAAACTAATCCAATCGCATGCGCACCTCTCCACTACTAGCTAGTACGTACTACGTACCGTACAAGTCCAGCCAAGTCCATTGTTGAAGGTGCAGCACTGACTTCTCTCCCTCATTGAATTGCTATGGCAAACAGGAGAGAAATCCAAGCTTGGCCGACAAGAGTACCACGTATACCGGTAGGAGGAGTTCTTTATCCAATCGGCGGATCGATCGATCGATCGCAATGAGGTAAGCTTACGGTATGATCAAGCGTGTTAATTGAATGTACAGCGCTGACTTCTCTCCCTCATTGGATTTCTATGGTATTCAGGAGAGAATTCCAAGCTCGGCCGTCAACAGGGAGTTGTTTTAATTATTCGAATCGAATTGATTGGTCGCACCTCTGTTATCCAAGCCTCACTCAAGCCGGTCGTCTCCGGTGTAGATTGGAAAACTATCCCTCATTGAATCCTATGGACCATGGGATGGCAGTCAGTTCTCCGCCCATGACGGCCAAGTTGGAGAAAATCGAAAACAATGGTAAGTCTCAGGTCGTCTGCAGTTCAGCACAGAGAACAAAACTCATATCTATTTGTTGTTTTCTCTGCTGCACTGCCGATGGCCAAGGAAATCCCATTGTCGAACGAACGAACGATCCCTCTGGATAATAACAAGAGAGGAGGCTACCGGTCCTACGGAGGAGGCTCGGTTAACTCCAGCCCTATCAACAGCATGAACGCACAGAGAAGATCGTCGTCGATTCATTGAATGGCTACAAGAGGAGGCTACACGACAATACTCGTACGCACAGAGGAGAGTGGATCCTACTGCTGGATTCATCCCTCCAGTGTTATTTCCTAGTGTTTTGGTGGTGATTCATGTGTCGGTACCCACTTTCCTGTATGCACAAGTCCTCGGGCGAACGACTTGCTTCTTTCGTATGATAAAGATAGATAAATAACTCGTAAGATAATAGATCATCGATTACCGACCAATAGACCACTCCTTTCATTAGATAGTAGACACCTTATAGATCAATAGGATTGACAAACAATATTCGGTTGTGTATATATTCGTCATAAGGATCCAATGCGAGGTACCTGTACCGGAGTGTAGCGAGCAAAGCCGAACCTGAGTGTGTTCGGTACTGTTGCCACTGTCGTCGATGTAACTATACGGCAGCCCGCTACAATGGCTGGATTGACAATCTTGTGTTGTGCATGTATTCGTCATAAGGATCCATTACGAGGTACTTGTACCGGAGTGTAGCGAGCAAACCGAACCTGAGTGTGTTCGGTACTGTTGCCACTGTCGCCGATTAACTATACGGCAGCCGGCTACAATGGCTGGATTGACAATCTTCGGTTGTGCATGTATTCGTCATAAGGATCCATTACGAGGTACTTGTACCGGAGTGTAGCGAGCAAAACCGAACCTGATTGTGTTCGGTACTGTTGCCACTGTCGCCGATGTAACTATACGGCAGCCGGCTACAATGGCTGGATTGACAATATTCGGTTGTGCATGTATTCGTCATAAGGATCCAACGCGAGGTAACTGAGTGAGGGAGCTGGAACTAAGGAATCAAAAGACGAACGCTGAAAAAAACGGAATTCCGGTGAAGCCAAAAATTAGGGATAGAGATAGGTGTAAGCCAACAAAACTGGAAATTGAAGGTTTAACAAGTTTAGGGGTAGGAATAAAATCATGATTATTCAAGGTTAGTGCACTCATCACAATAAGCCAGCATAAGCTACAAAGGTTACAATTACATTAGGGAATGACAGCTGTAAAATTATGGTTATCGGGCGGCAACACACACGACGAAGTCGGGTGTTGTCGCCAGGGCTAGCCTAAATAAAAAAGAAGGTTACAATGAGGGAATGATACCGGGCGGCAACACACGACGAAGTCGGGTGTTGTCGCCAGGGCTAGCCGGAAAGAAGAGTGCAATCTCAAACATGCCATCCTTCTTCTATCTGTCTTTCTGCCGAGGTATCGCAGCTCCTGCTGATTTAGTTGTGAGGGCGACATGATGACTCATGGGTAAGCTATTGGTACCAAGGAGCTGGTGGCTGGCTGTATGAATCCTTGAACAAGGTAATCCAAAGCGAGCAGCACAGCACAATGCCAGTGGAAGAGCGGGATATGGTACAAAAAGTCACACATTCATCAACCATCATGATTTCTACACTCACACCATGTGTTAAAGCATTGTGGGTTATCATTGAAAGAGGATAGGCAAAAATCTATAGTAGCTGTTGCTGTTGGGTGTTGGATACCCAAGCAACTATAGTATACGATGTGGTGGACGCCCACTCATTGTGCCCCTAACTAAAGGTAATGGGGCTTGGTGCATTTTGCCCCCATCTTGTTTGTCGTGCTCTACCGTATAGATAGATTATCCGGTCTTCGATTAGGAGATCAGAAGCGACCACGAGTCAACGCGACGCAACCTCGTCCATCACAGAGGAGAATCCCTCCAGCGGACCTCTCTGCGCTCCATGGTATGGTTTGATGCAGTGCTAGTTTCCATTCCCCTTGGGCATTTGCTCGAGTCCAGCTTTGTACCGCCAACAGGGTTGCCTCGTCGAGACCCGGAGTAACGGGAAATCAGTATCGGACACCACCATAACATCGGCATCGCCAAGTTTCATGCCAGCTGGCCGCGCCCCCTCTTCGAGACATGTCTTCCATTCATCGAGTCGTCCACCTTCTTCCATGACTGCAGACACTTGATTGGCCGGTTGTGTACTACAAACTTGCTTCATTTCGTCCAACTTTCCTTCTCGGAGTGCATCGTAAAATGTTTTTTGTTGTGCCAAGACACCATCGACATCGTCCTGAGATGGATCAGTTTCGTCTAGTAAAATGTCGGTAGGTCGTAAATGTTGTCCGAGTATCTGCAGCCATTCCGGGACTTCTCCCTTTCCAGAGCCAAATGAACGACCAATGGCACTGATCCCAAACCATCGAAATTCGGAAGAGCCATCTTCGGAAGAAGCAGCAACAGCAAGACTATCAAAGTACTCTTTCCAGTCATTTGTATTTCCGGCATCCGCCAAAAAGCCATTTCGCTGATTGCTGTCCAAACCCCAGTCGTCACTGCTGGAACCATCAGTTGGGATGACCACGACATAGGTACTCGCCTGGACCAACCGTCTTTGCAGTACCTGTAGAGGCAACAATGCTGATTTCAATTGCTCTGCAGTTCCTGATAATGCCAGTAGCCGCACCGCCCGTGCCGATTTATTCATCAACTGTGCCAGTGGTTGTGCCGTTTGAAAGGGTGCATCGGCCAATGGATTCGATGGCAACCGTAGTGTCAATCCCAAGGCATTGAGTTCCTTTTCCATTCTGGTCAACTGCTTGGATCGCCGTTGACATTCTCGTACAAAGAGACCCGTACTGCCGACTCCAGCTACCATGGCCACGGCAATGACGGGGAGCGACAACATGTCACTGGAGTTATTATTGAGTTCTTGGGCCAACCAGGGAGATGCAAAAAAGGTCAATGCCAACAAGCCAAAAAGATTGATGCGGAGGGGTTCACTCTGGTTGAGAGAATTGTACTTGGTCAATGCATCGCCGCGAACACTTCGCAACGAAAAGAGGTCAAAAGTTGGCTTGGAGACATCGAATTGGGACATGTGAAGAAGAACAGATGATTTTCTTCTCTCATTATGGCTCACAGTAGCGCTCGGCTGAAACAGCCGTGGCACAAAGGCTGTTGTCGACCCGCCAACCAGGCCGATAAGAAGCAGTAGCTTGACTCTGATCATGTTGCTTGTTTTATTCTTGATTCTGCTGCCATGTACTGTATGTGCTAGCTCGACTTTGCCAACAGCTAGCTGGCAGCACAGTCTCTCCCTGCCTCATGAGTCAATGGTTTTCTTATCTTTTGTGCCGGTATCTTTGTGAGAAACTGACGTCATCGTTTCAGAAAGATCGCGAAGCCAATTTCAACCACGGCCCTTGGTTTTTGGCTTGCTTCATGCCAATCGATGTCAGGAGACCATCAGCAGTTCATCAGCGAGAGGTTTAGAAAACGCTGATCTCATTGTGTTGCCCAACAGCTCTTATCTATCTACACAGTATCTCTCTAGCAAGCTTTGTACCGGTTATCTTCCACCATGATTTCTTCTGGTAGAATCTTGCTGCTCTTGGCGGCCGCCATTTCTTCGGCATCGGCTTTTGTTGCGCCTGTGCCCAAACCATCCGTCCTGACCACCACCACCAACACACAACAACTGCCAATAGCTGCAAATAATAATGAAGCCAATATCCGCCGTGGAACCGTCTTGTTCATGGGCTGGGGTCCTGATCCCATCTGGTCTCCCGCGACTGTAACATCCAACGAAAAGGCTTGCCAATCCGGCAGTTGTGTCAGTATCACCCTTTCTGTCAACCCCGAGACAGCGGCCGAATACGCCATTCCCGGGCAATACGTCCAAATGCGATTGGACGGAGACACCAAACCACTCTTTTTGGCCATTGCCAGTGGCCCCGATAAGGAGAATGCCTCGTTTGAATTCTTGATCAAAAAGACAGAGGGAAATGAATGGATTACATCGGCAGCGTCCGGCACCACGGTCGAAATGTCCCAAGTCTTGGGTGGTGGATTCCCCATGGACGAAAACCTCGAGGGATTCAAGTACGATTTTCCCACACAAAACGTCTTGCTCTTTGCGGCCGGGAGTGGCATTGCCCCCATCAAGGCCGCCATGGAAAGTGGACAGCTCAATGTAGCCGGTAGTGGTGGCGGTGGTGGACGCACGGCTCGATTGTATTACGGAGTGCAAAATCCCGATGAACTTTGCTTTGTCGAATCCTTTGGACAATGGGAACAGATGGGATATCAGATTGTCCCCGTCTTGAGTCAGCCGCCTGCCGATTGGGAAGGCCGAACGGGTTATGTGCAGGCGGCCTTGGAGGAGGATGGTGTCCCCATTCCACGAAATTCCGGGGCACTCATGTGCGGGATGAAAGGAATGGCAGAGGCTGTCAAGGACATCTTGGTAAAGGCAGGAGTCTTTGAAGGACGAGTTCTGACCAACTTTTAAAATGACGTAGAAACTGAAGCCAGTGATTGAGAGATAAGGAAGGATGGGTGGGTGGATGGATGGATGGAAGTCGAGAGCGGTCACTCGTTGTGATTTTCTCTACTACTACCGTACCAGTAAATGCTCTTACGAAAATCTTTACGATCCTTTATGTATTCACAGCGAAGAAGTCTCTGTCCAGCAATTCAGATTTGGGCAATGCATTGTCTGAATGCCATCTCACGAGACGGGGTTGAGCTTGTTTGGGGTGGTTGGTCGTTATTTTGTAACAATACAGACATCGTTCTAGCTACTGTCTGTGGGAAGAACTACTAGCTTACCGTGCAAGGAGGCTGCGGGGTGGTACTACTACATGTCGTATTGTATTGAGTTGTGGCAGTGCCGGGACTACTTTCTTCTGCAATCCTTTGGCTTCGTTATACTCTTGTCCTTGTCCTGTCCAGGTTAAAACGAACAGTCGAGTAACAGGCACAAAGAGAATTGCTGTCAGCAGATCGGGATTGACTTGACTTGACTCCATCCACCTTCGGGCTTCTTGCAAAGGAAATTGTAGCTGTTGACTACTAGCTAGATGTCATCATCGGTCCATCGCGGACGCATCTTTTCCCATTCTTCTTTTGTGGGCGGACCAATTCGAGGAGGGTTGCGTAGCTTTTGCCGTTCTGTGACCTTTTCCATTGTTCGCAGCATGGAGGAAGCTCGTTTGGTATACATGGTAAAGCCTGCGGAAGCAGCAAGGCACACAGAGAAGATTACGATTGGTGGAATTCCAATCTTGTTGCTGTTATCGTCGGTGTTCTTGGATCCTGCAGTTCCTTGAGACGCCATGGCATTGATCAGATACTGCGAAGATGAAGGCTGCGGATGCTAATGCTAATACTATGGTATCTCGGCGCTTCTCTTATGTCAAGACGATCTGTTGTGGGAATGCTTGGGATGGGATTGATGAGACAATGCGCTCGAGAAGGCCAGCAGAGCTAAAAGGTTGGCACCTCGAGCTTTCTCAAATTTACTCCGACTACCAATCACACAAGAATGAACTCTGTATGGGAGAAGGGGTATTATATCGCCAACGCGCACCGAAAGAAGGCAAAATCAACGACTTCGAAGCTCATCGCTGAACAAAGTTGCACAACACTTCTCTCTTTGTTGTCATCAAAGGCGTCTCATTTTTCTTTCGCATCGTCATTTGCAGTTGTCCACAGCATACATTCATCATTATGAAGCTCGGTATCGTCTCGGTTCTTGCATGGCTTGCAGCGTCCATGCCGGCGGCTGCTTTGGTTGCAACTACGGAAAACAATGACGAGATGATCCCGTCGTCCTTGGCAAGTGGCAAAGACTACGACGGTCCTCCAGGTCCTCTCTCCAACACACAAGTGCAAAAGACTGTCATTTGTCCTGGAACCTCTCCTCAAAATCTATACGAGGGTCATATCCAGTTCGGAGGTCGAACTCGGTTCGTCGTCAAAAACGTCGCCTCGGATCCCGTCGTCGTCGCATTTGTCGATCGAAGCAATGGAATGGAATACTCGGCGGCCAATGGTGACATTACTCCAGCTCGAATGGATCCAAATTCTTTTTTAGCTCCAGGCATGACCAAGGTCTTTGCCGTCAACGAGGGTCACGTCTTTCACGTGCGAGACGCCAAGACCAACGAACTCCTAGCACAACACCGTGCTGGATTGATTCCAATCGAAAACAAATTTCAACAAGAGATTGGGCACTGTCCTATCAAAGACGGAAAAAAGCAAACCTTCGACGATGGCTCGTATCGCGTCATGCGAAAGTTCCCACAATGGAGACCTGCCTTGGTGGAAAAGTACAGCGAAGAAATCTACGTCGACGCTGGCTTTAAGAACACGGTCAAGTCCAGCACGGGGCAAACATGTCCCGTCAATTTCTACTTTGTCGCCAAGAATGCAGGAAAAAGCAAAAGACGAAAACCCAACTATTGGGAACGACTCACTATGCACTTGGGAGGCAACAACAAAGCCAAGGGGACCGATGGCGAACTGTGGGATGCCAGCACCAAGTACGAGCGCACATATGTTGGGCACGAGTTTGTCGCACGGTTGGCGCATGATGACAGCGTTGTAGTCGATCACTTGTCCATTGGACCCGTCAAGATTCAAGACTGTGGCAAAAAGAAGCAACGTAATACTGTCCAAGTGGCCTCTCATGCGACGGCGATTATCGTTCCGATTGGACGAAGCAATGGGCTGGATGAAAGTGTCGTGAACCAAACTGTTGCAGATGTCCTTGCCAATCCCACCATGAATACAACCGAAAGTCGGCGGGGGCTCTACTTCAAAATGTACACCGAGTAAGTACAAGGGTCGTGTGGCTGATTGCGGCATAACGCGCCAACCAACAAGAACAAGGAATGGAATCGGGAAAAGTAAGGAAAGACGAGGTGGAAATACACCTACACCTACACCTATATATGCATGCCTTCCTGCAAGGAAGTGGAAAGCCAACGACTGAAAACCAGTGTTTGTTCAAGAATGAGGCGCCCAAATCAAATTCTACGCATTGCACAAAGAGGAGACCATAGCGGTAGCGTAGCGGCTTGCTTCTGTGAACAGTCAAAGCAGCAGAGGATCCCAGTCCTTACCATAGAAAAAGTGTATAGATCATTCATCAAAATTTCGTTGCTTGCCACTTCCAATAACCACTTGGTACCTCTAGCTAGATAGATAGAGGAGCGCCAACTTGTTGGGCACAACACGAGGCAATGGAATACTAGTAGTACGGCAGTCTAAGCAACGAATCGACTCAGATGTGATTGCTAATTCACTGATCGTATCATACGGCGGGGTTTGCTATGAATGGGTGCATCCTCAGTTCTTTACTTTTTCTCTATGATACGGTAGATGCCGCCGGGGGGTTGTTGGTTGTTTCGATGGCTTTTGTAGTGCTGCAGGTTGACTGCGATAGTGATGTGGAATTCTAACCATCCATCAACTCAGTTTTGACTCAATCCAATCAATGATCTCATTCATCGTCATCTTCCAGGTCAAGATTCTTCTTGATAGCCCAGTCGCAAAATTCTGCAAAAAGGACCATGCCGCCGCCGTCCTTGTCACATTCCTTCCACTGCGCCTTGGGGTCACTCAGGTCAATTCCCCACTTGGCCATGGTATCTTTGGCCTTTTCAAATTCATCGTAACTGACACGGCGGTCGCCATCCGTGTCCACTCGTTCAAAGGCCAGCCAGTACTCGTAGTATTGTCGCAAATACTGAAGCAGCAATCGGTACTCATTTTTCTGAATGTAGTCATTGTCCTTGTCACTTTTGGCCGGAGAAGCGCTCTTGGCGGCTTGAAAAGCACGCATCAGGACGGGCTTGATATCAAACAAAGTGGGAAGGTCTACTACATCTCGCATTCCTTTATCGATCTCTGCCAAGGAAAGATATCCGTTTCCATTCACGTCAATCTTGGACCATTGTTCCATGCGCTTCTTCTTTTCTTCATCGGTTCTTTCATAAGGCAATTTCTCCTTGAGCTCAGCCCAAACCTCTGCGGAGCTCATCTTGTGCTGCAGTTTATTATCTTCTGCAGGTTGGCAAGGGTTGTGAATGATTCAATCTTCCGAAGATAGGACTGTATCACGCCTGGGTGTGTGCCATCATCACTGATCATCAGACCTGGATCCTGGATCTGCTGAAAAACCGGATCTTTGGTCATTTTCACCTTCACTCGAGTTTCTCAAATAAATGTGAAGCAGAACCCTATCTCTAATTTCAGTTCCACATCTCCGCTTTGACCTGTACAGTAGCTTGCTCCGACCACCGGCACCAACAGTGGGGAGATACTAATAGAGCAAAAGCTTTCCCACTGCAGTTCGCCCAATCCTCTGTGTCTATGATGATGAATTCTAGCATTCCAGCTTAGGTGGCGGACAAACCCGGTCTGAAGTCCATTGTACATGTCGCTCAAGCTACAAAGTGTGCCGCTAGCTAGCGTCACAAGCAAATCAGCAACTGTGTAGCTACTACCTATTTCTCCTTACAGACCACAGGCAGGAAAGCACTGTTGCTTAGGAGTTAGTTGTTCAACACGTCCTTCTTCGCCTCCTCCAGGCAATTCGCCATTGACCACCATGTCTGGTTTTGTCGTGGTCAACCAGGGAGTCTTGGCTTCCGAAATCCTTTCCATCATCGCTATCTTGCCAACCAAGTACAATCGTAGTAGATTGTCTTCAACAGTGCGGAAGGGTCGAGCTGAAATAGAGCCACACAAATTCCCCCTCTGTGGACTGTGGACCTGTGGAGCAAGATGCTGCAAGATTAGCTGAGAAGCTGCTGAGATACGACAGGGCTGATGATGATAATGATGCCGGCATTTGTGGTGCCCCTTGAAGCAAGTGGTCAAGGACTATGACCAAGCTTCACTGGTATTATCTCAACTACGTGTTCTGAACATTAAATTGCTACTAAGTCTTGTGTAATAAGAAGCTACAGTATCGGAACGCGAATATTTATCTTTCTTTATGTAGAAGAACCGCCTTAACTATCCGAGTCCGGTGTTGTCTGACAGTTGCAGTTGAATAAAAGTCCATTATTTTTTAGTGGCGAAAATCAGTCGATAATGGCGTTGGTACAAGGACTCATCAGTGAGAAACCAACTCCCTTGCAGAACACTATTGCAAGAAATCTTGCTTAATTAATTAAGGAGAAGAGCAAATCTAAATCAATGGATTCCCAATCATGAGCACCAATGAGAACAAGGCTTATCAGCTTCAAGTGAATTATGGATTAGTATCCATGACATGACTCATGGCTATTGTAAGTGTATCCAAGAATGACCTCTTTACTCACTCCCACATCCCCAAAGATTCTAGATTCCTTTACTGCAAGTATTTGATTTTAATCATTTTTTGGAGCTGTTTTGGAAGAACCTGAACCCAGACCTACCGTTTCTCTATGGAGGCCAAAGACCGATTTGGCGAAGTACTAGCTAGTAGTGGATAATCATCATATCTTGTCCTTTGCACTCTGCCCTTTTGCTTATTTGATAGATCACTAAAAATTGAAGATGAGTGCTGCATCTTATCTCCCCCTGCCACCCATACCGGTACCAGGTAGCTGTTGTTTCAGCTGTGAATGTTGCTGATCTTTTATCATGGCTGACCTTTATTGTGTGTACCGGTATGGCTTTTGAAAACAGAAGCAGTCTAACGAGGAAGTAGATCATCAAAGACACCCATCACAGAAGACTACGGGTACCTGGTACCGAATTGAATTAGCTTTTCGTTGCCCAAGCCATGAAGCATGCTTAAGATTTCCAAAGTTTTGAATTTTAGAAAACCAAATTTCTAAATTTCTAAAGGTAAACATTACGGAATTCAAGTCTCAAGAAAGATAGCTCAGCGTATTCTGGGAATCACCAGCACCAATCCGAACCTACCTTCACCATTACTATGGAGTACTTTCTGAGTGTCCAATTGAAACTGCTGTGGACAACAGTGTGTTAAGAAAGCAGTACATCTGGGCAATTAAGCTCTGGAAGCCCCATAAAGGAGAAGTGAAGAAATCCCCAAGAGATTGATCGTGGCGACGAGCGCCTTTTCTTGCAGACTGATGTGGCTTTAATGGCAGGGAGCACCACTGTAGAACGCGCCAGCTCAGACACTCATCAGACAGGCCATACGCCATACGCTGGTACTTGCAGATGCAGAAGGCTGCATGGATCCAAAACCACCATCAACCATCAACCTCAAGCTGAAAAAAGGGAAGAAAGATGCCAATAAAAGAAGCACAAGTAAGTGTGTAGGAAGCGGCTGTGGAAAGGGGAAAGGGAAGCAGCAGGATATTGTCGTGCATGCTCTACCGTACGCGCTACGCGTATGAACCTTTCGGTGAAGAGGCGACTGGGAAGTGGGAAAGGTGGCCGTTCCAGCCCCCAGCCCGAAGCTGCAACAATCTGAACAGCCAGCTCTAGCTAGATACCCCTGCTTTTCTGCTCTCTGGTTCACATTCTTCAAGAGTCTTTCCATCACAACAAAAACTTGTACGAGTAATCACTTTCAAAAGCTCTTTCAAACCAAGTTCACTGGGTCGCCACTCAAAGCGCTTGAACTACTTTTTCATTATATTAGTTGCAGCAAAAGATTGCCATCATAAAACGAACGACGATGGAGCTGGATTTCCCTCATTTGCAACTATCTTCTTCCGCCGAGGCTCATACATCCCTGATCGTTCAGCAGTGCGCAGCCATGTGCCCTCCTCATTCACCATTAGATAATGACAACACGAAGAAGGGAACGAAGCGCCCTCAGTCGCCTGATGACGACATCCCTGCCGGCGTCGAAGCGACCAGCCGAAAGAGAGCCAGAGTAGGGAAGCGAGTTCGGTTCACCATGACCACCACCAACACCGATGGACGGCCCACGGAAAAGGACGCCCTGATTGTGATCCCTCGTCATGTCAAGGAAGAAGATCTACCCTGCATGTGGTATACCCGCCGAGACTACAGATCCTTCCGAGAAGACTCGCAGTCGCTGGCACTCGCATTTGAGCTCGGGATCCTGGATCGCCTTCATCCTGATGAAATCTGCTTGCGGGGCTTGGAAGCCAATATTTCCAAGGGCCATTTGGAGGCAAGATTGGCATCCAGGGGGACACTGACCGAGTTTATCTTGAGGACTCAGGAAGCTCAGAAAGGGCATGGCATGGCAGATCCGGAAATGATCCGAGGTCTCTCACAAATGTTGTCCAAAGACGCTTGCGAGGACGCACTCAAGTTGGCTGCCTATGACAGGGAGGAGGCAGAACAAGAATTCCAAAAGCAAGACGAACAACAAGAAACATCGAGTCAGGAGCAATGACCATGTCTCCACCACTGTACCACATACGGTATACCTTCAACTTCCTTAAACAATTTTAAAGTAGCCTCCTAAAACATGATAACATCCTATCTTCTCAATCTTCAAGTTTTCTTGTGCATTTCATTCTTCATAGCTATGCATAGAGGAATGTGCAGTCGGGGTAATGCCCCATGTTTGCTTATGGTCAGGTTCATTTATTTGTGATCATCACTCCGGCTAGCTAGCCGGACCCTGCACGCTTCTGGGCCCCAATGGTACAGACACAGAGGCTATTTAATAGTGCTAGCATAGTAGAGGAATGATCAAGCCAACGCTTTCGAAGACTGATCATTCCCTTCCAGATGTCCGGTGGAGGTGGGTGTTTCGGATGAAGCATTGCCGCACGAGGCGTTTGAGCTTTCCTCGTCTTGCGGGAATACGATGCCTCTACCGTACTGCTTTCTCGATACGATGTACGCCTTTGCTTTTTCAAGCTACAATGGTACATTTCTCAGCACTTTCTGCAGTCCCGGAACAACACCGCAAGCGCTGTGCCTTCTTCATCGTCCAACTTTTGTCGACGAATATACTGTATAGTCTCTTGAGGAAAGACGGGTGTCACCGGAGGGTTGGAAGAACGGCGAACGAGCCACGAAGGCGACAGTTCGAGACCGGAGCAAGATTGCAGTCAGGCATTGACCCAGCTGAACATGTTGAAGACCGTCTCGTCGTTCTGATCCGAGAAGGTAGATCTTGTCACTGAAAAGGTACGGTGCGGAGAGGGCTTTAGAACCACGCCAGATGCAATTGCCACGTTCAGGACTGGAGTTGATCCTGGTGTTGGCCCAGGTAAAAGAGGGACCAGGATTGGGGCTTGGAGATGGACCAGAGATAGGTCCTGATGAGGGATCTGGAGTAGGTCCAGGGGTAGTATCTGGAGTCGGTCCGGGCATTGGTCCAGGAGTTGCTCCACGTGTTGGGTCCGGGATTGGGCCCGGGCGATGGATGTAGAGTTGGGCGCGAACGGGGTCCTGGTGTGCAAACAGAAGTGGGGCCTCGAGAGTTTCCAGGATTGCGACCTGGAGTAGGACCAGGGATGGGCCCTGGAGCCGGTCTGGGGGTGGGTTTCAGTGTGCACTTGGACCCCCCCCCCCTGGCAGAGAGGAAAGCGACGGGTCCTCTGGATGCGGGTACGGCCATTGGAAACTCTCCCAAGGTGTGAGAATTGCAAGCCAGCATTCAGGTGCTGTCGTCAACTACTTATTACATATACAGTGCTGCGCGAAGAATAAAGACCGTTTCTGGTGCTTCCTGTGGCATCGTTCGCATGGTCAGTACAAGTGCTAGCTACTGTAGCTAGTACCGTAGCTGTAGAAAGGGGTGAAAGATTATTCTGAATCTGAGTCAGTCATGGGTCAAAATCGTTCTAGTAGAGGATAGACCACTTGCAGATGCAGACTCGAAGCTACATCCTGGTGAATATGAAGGCCCCTTGAAAACAATGAACCCGCCGTTGGAAGTCCTAGAGCGGCTCGACGGCTTCAACGATTGAATGGTTCTTCGTACATGACATTGTAATTACCGTCAAGTACCAATCGTCAGAAATAGATCCCCTGCGGTCGCGTTCACCAAAACTGAAAACCTTATCTCTATGCATCCACTTTAGCCGTATTGGAACCCTTTGCATTCACCTTGGGAGAACTCGTTGTCGCATCACCATTGTGTTCCTCCTCTTCGTCATTTCGCGGGGGTGCAAAGACGTGCTGCTTGCCACGCACATTTCGCAAGCGTTCGCCCTTTGTCAGCAGTGGACTTTCGCCTGTTTTGTCCTTCTCGAGAATTTTATCCATAGTGTCCAAAAGGATGTCGGCGTCAATAAAGGGAATCTGCGATCAAAGGAACCACCAGCCAAACGCAGCGGAGACAAAGAACAGTCACGTAAGTATTTGAGTGCTGTGAAGTACGGGAATTCGAACTGTACACGTCTCCAGCGACAAGGAACACAAACACAGCCCCCAATCACCTACGTACCTCAACAACAGCTTCCCAGCTTTGTCGCTTCCCGTTGGGATCAGTGGTGAAATCAGGGGGGTAGTATTCAGTCAGGGGAGATGCAGGATTGATCATGAGTTCCCCCAGCGGAGGTGGCAGCAACTGTGCACTTTGAGGTGGCAACACGGACAAGAGCTGGGCCAAACTCGGGAAGGGCGTCCCTAGTTCAAAGGGAAACGACTTGAAACCGTCGTTATCATTGTCATCATCTTCATAGAACTCATGCAAGTTTACAACGTCAGTGCAAAGCGGGCTGTACAAGTGAGGAAAGTACCAGTCCCAGGAACAGCATCCATTGTGGTAATAGTTCAAATTCCAATGCAACCCTTCAATGTAATCTCGCACATGTGCTCGTCTTCGGAACAGCGTCCTGTTTCTATCGGATGCCTTCCACCCCATTTTGGTTTCATAGTAGAAATCTCGATAAGATCGTGCCCTGACAGTAGGATACTGTCGTCGAAAACCTCGGTTACCGCTGGCTTGAATGTTGGGGTCGTCGGATTCGGGCGGTTCCGGTGCCCCCTTGCGATTGGCAGGTTTGGCAGCTTCAGGCGTGGGATCTTTTGTGAAGTACTCCCCATAAAAGTCACAAATGTCGTCTTCGGCATCGGCTGTTAGCTTCCAGCCCGGTTCATTCTCTTCAAAGCCGCGTCGTTTAAAGTGTTCCTCTTCGTAGACGGCGAGATGGTACAGGAACTGTTCAAATCGTTGTGGATGAATCTGTTCTTTCTTGGTAAGGTAATCTCCCCATTCTGGCAACAAGTCGATATATGTACTCATCATCATGCTGATAGCGCCACCATCAATCTCCATGTGTGGCATGTGGCTCAAAAAGTCGTTACCCACGAGCATGCACATGAATACAAAGTCATCGACAACGCGATTGAGATCAAAGTCGACGTTGAGAGCCCCGTCATCATCAAACCGCCGAAACTGCAAAGCCAACAGTTGTCTCAAACTTGACAACTCTAGGACTTCAAAATCATTCTTGGTATATTCCATCATATCTTTCTTTTTGCGATACTTGTTGCGTCCCCGTCCGGCCATGACGACGGACATTTTTTCTCTCAGCAGCATAAAGTTTGGCTCATGACTTACGAGACCCAACATGATCAAGTCGGCATCTAGTCCATAGAGAACATGGGTCCAGTTGGGTTCCCATAGGATCTTCTCCTCCTCTTCTTCATCATTGTTGTCGTCAGCATCATTGTCATTTCGTTGTTGTTGCCTTTGATAGTATTGTTCTCTGGAATCTCTGAGGAAATCCATCACTTTGTGCTCTCCTTCCCCCGGAACATCGGGTCCACTGACAATGACAGTGGCTCCATTTTGCCAAAAGGGATCGGCCTTCATTTTGAACTCGACCCACTTTTGCAGTGCAATACTGAGCTTGAGCATAAAGTCCGTCCTTTAGAAGGCAACAATTAATTGGATAAAGAAGAACACAAAATATAATGAGCAAAAGACGCACAAAACAGATGGCAAAGTTTTAAAATTGGATGGTACGTTACCCTGGCGTGATACAATTGGAATCGAATCGTCGTTCGAGCCATTCTTCGTCACTCTTTTTGGGTCCCTTTGCCCCAGCGGCATTTTTGCGGGCAATCACCTCGGCGGCCGTCATTTCGGCTTCCTTGGCCGACCGGAATCGTCGGGATCGTTGCTGATTCATCTTGGCTCGTGGGGCCACTCCGTCGACGGCGAGGTATAAGAGTTTGTCGGGTTGCACCAGCTTATAGAGTCGATCGACGTAGAGAAAGATCTTTTTGAACATGGCCGTTTCATCCAAAATGATAATTTCTCCTTCGGCATTGCCGTGCGTACAGGGATGAATGATCCCATTCATGTCCAAGTAAAAGCTGTCCACTTGAAGATCAGGGGCCAATCCTTCTTCTAGCTGCCGATTAATGATATCAGGATACTGGTCACTCAACCAACGAAACATTTTGGGAATTCCAAAAAGTGCAGTAGTGGAAGATGGCGGGGAAGACAATGGAGTGCTGTCATGGTGAAATCGGTTGGTGGATCTGAAACTGGAAGGTAACGTGAAACTGGAGGGCACAGTAAAGGCGACCGAGAGGGTAGGTATACACCACACAAAACCCAATACAGCAAGCACTGGCCGCAGGTAGGATAGCTGCCTCATCATCTTTTAGAGCCCAATATATCTAATAGAATGAATGCCTTCGTGCTTTTGGTTTGCAGAATGGAACAGAATTATTTTTGAGAATGGATCTTTGATTGATTTGTGGTGGCAGCTCCCATGGATTGACGTCAGTGTCAAAACAGTCTTGCCGTTGTCAACAATAGGAAGAAGCACACTTCTTCCATTCCGACTTCTCTCCTTAACCCAACGGTCCCGTCGTCATTTTTTGCTCTGCTTGGAGCTGCTCGACTTCTCTCCTCGAGGTTTTGGGCAACACTTTCTTTTCTGGTTTATTCTAAGCTACGGTACTAGTACATGCAAGAAAAATGAGGCTACCAACAACGGTATCATCAACAACAAAAGCAAGACTATCCAGTACTCGCCAATGCCGCATTCGGTATGGATTGGTGGCAAGTCTGGCGACGATTGCAGCTCTTGGTGCCGTTTTGACCTCGTACGAAGAAGATATTCATTTGATCAGTCGACAAGCTGCCGCCATTTTACCTCCGACCGCGGCATTGTTCGGGGATGACAGCCTCCAAGACTGTCCTCAATATGGAACCACCATTCTGTCATCTACTGCTTCAGACAATGACAAGTTGGTGATTGACAAAAAAGCCATCAGGGCACAATCCAAGGACAAACTGAATCAACTCAAGCAATTCACGTTGCCCGATTATGAACAGTACATGATGGCTCCTCCAGGAAAAGAGCACTACACACTCTGGCACTATCTTACTCAAACCTATCACAAGGATTGTCGACATGTGGTGGATATTGGAACAAGATATGCAGCCTCAGCATTGGCGCTGGGTGCTGCTGGAGCAAAGGTCCGAACTTTTGACATTCCAACTAGCAAAGAACGGTCCCTTGCCTTTCGACAGAAGTCGGAACAAGAGTGGCAACAACAGCTACAAGAACAACATGCAGTGAATATTGAATTCTACAATCTTGACCTATTGCAAATATCTGATGAAGAGTTCTCCCAACACATGGCAACGTGGCTCATTGTATTGGATACATTCCACCAACCTTACACAGTACCCTTTGAAAGGGAGTTTCTGAAGCGGCTTGTAAATTCACTCACACCTTACAAGGGCCTTGTACTGTTGGATGATATCAATCTTAATGATGAAATGAGACAATGGTGGAAGGAAGTCAAGGACAATGCTGACCTGTGGGGATTCCGTGCTTATGACTTGACATCTGTAGGACATGTCTCCGGTACCGGTCTCTTGGACTTTTCAGGCAAAGTAGTCATTGTAGAATAATAAAATGGAAGGAAACAAGGAATGGATGTTGATGAGCTTGAGAGTGTATAGAGGCTATTGTAGCTAGCTGTCACGCTGGTTTTCATGTTGTGTTGCTTGCTTTGCTTCATGACGTGTCTTCTATGATTCCTTGGGTTTTGGAGGCAGGTAGGTTTTGGAGAGGAAGAAAGTGACCGCATCACCAAACATCCAAATCAATATCCCGACAGGTCGTCCAAGCATTTGCCGAATCTTGGTCCATTCCAGGATCCATTTGACAAGAGATGCCAATGCACCAGGAATGATTAATTGGTTGAAAGCAATGACGCCGTCAAATCTGCCCAAACTCAGCACGTAGACCATGGGCATTCTTTGGCTCCCAGAAGTGGCGTCTTCCGGATACTGTACGAAGGGACGCCCGGTAACGAGTCGCATCACATTTTCAGCCGCCACGCCACCTTGCACTTCCGCATGAAAGGCTTGCTTCGCATCCTCTGTGGGAGGTGCGGCCACATCCCCGCAACAGAAGATGTTGGGACGGTTGGGGACTCCCAGGAAAGGATCGACTTGAATGCATTTGCGCTGGTCCAACTGAATGACATTACCACTGCCAGAAGTCGTCCCGGTACTGCTGGTTGTGAGGGCTCGCGGGTTGTTCGCTACCAGTGGTCCCGAATTGGGCTTATCTCCAAAGCAGACGAAGACCAAATCAGCCTTCAACACCGCGCCATGCCGCAAAGTGCAACTCTTGTCATCCCATTTTCTCAGCATTTCTCCCAAAAGCAGCTTGCATCCTCGAGACTTCAACCAACTCTCAGCATACTCAGAGACTTTAGCATCCTCAAAGAGCGGTACCAGTCGAGGACTGGCATCGATCAGCGTGACCTTCTTGCCCTGGTCAAGATGATAATGATCTACAATCTCTGCTGCCAGTTCTGTCCCCACAGCTCCTCCCCCAAGGATGAGAATGGATTTGGCGCGTTCCAAGGACTGCGCCGCAACCTTCCAGGCATTTGCCCTTGCTGCAAGGGTGGCTTCTTCCCTTAGCGGTGAAACGGGATATTGATACTGACGTCCCGTTGCCAATATGAGATAGTCAAACTGCAATGTCTTGGTCTGTCTTGTGGCACTGTCGACATAGGTAACTTCGTTCTGCTGTCGTTCCGAAGTGATGGTCGTCACTGTTCCCTGAATAATTTCATGTGCTCCATGAGGTAGCGGATAAGCTAGCTTGCGAAACAAGTTAGGTTCACAAACGAGTCTCAAGATCCCTGGAGTGTACTCGAAGTACTGTTTTGGATCAATGAGAATGACACGAAAGAGAGGATTGTTTTCGAACTTTCGCAACGCCGCCAATCCGGCAAAGCTCCCACCAACAACGACGACCGTGTTGGCCCGTCGTTGCCGTGGTTGTCTCAAGCCACCCTGGCGTTGCTGCTGCTGCTGCGGCTGCCCTGCTTCGGATTGAGACTTGATGCGGGCTAGATAACGAAGAATTATCGATGGAATCAGCAGGTAGGCATCGATCATCATGAAGATCCCCCAAAAGAGGAACTGTGCCGCCACGACGAAGTACTTGGAGAGAACCATGGCTGCTGTACCGAGACACTTAGTTTGCCGAATGCGCTACAAGCCCTTGAACGAGACTTCTGATGCTCAGCTGCAAGGACAACAAGAATGTATGTATCCTTGGCCACTTTGGAAACGATTCCTTTGCAGAAGGACGGTCAGGTCGAACTTGCTGGATGAATGCCTTGTAGTCAATCTTGCGATCATCAAGGAAGAAGGAAATTCACTAGCTAGACAGTTGTACCGGTGGAGCAGCTAGGAATGAACCATTAATGGAAAAGACAACACAAAAGATCAAACGAATGGTTCAGATGTATACTAACTAGCTAGCAAGGGTTCTCTTTATGGTCTGGTATCGCTGAGTTGGTTCTATTGCAGCCTTCGTCATCACCATAGTACAGATGGATGATGCCATATGCCACCATACCGGTATCAGGCAGTATCTTCAGATTCGATTCTAATTGCATAGGTTGTACGGTATCCTTGCGAGAAGAGATGCCACGCAACTTTCTTCTGAGTCAGTTTTGCTTTACCTTGAAGCAGCTCTTTGATGCTCGAACTGTCTGTACTGCCAGGGTCCTGCAAGCCCACGAAACGGGACTCTTTCCGTGAATCTGCTGGTAGTTTCTCGGAAATGAGTTAGTTTTGCATTTTTACTAAACTTTTTAGTTACTGTACACTGTACTTCACGAAGCCTTTTTCCAAAACCAAGCTTTTCCCCGCGGTGCTGTCCGTGCAAGCTGGTACGAGTACGTTGATTGGGTCAGGATCAGTCGTGTGACGTGTCGCTTCCAAGATCCAAGTCTCGTTGCTATTTTAAAAAAGCTAGACACAGGTGGAAGCCCAGACAAAAGAAAGAGACCATAAACTAACTGCAACTGTGAACGTAAGACAAGAGACAACCAAAGGAGAGCTCGAATGGATTGGCTGGACGCGCCGCATCCTTCCCCTGAGGCTGAAGGATCCCTCCGAAGTAGGTGGATTTGGAGCGGTGGGGTCCGTGCATTTGCCTTGGTACCGTATCGGCGTTGCGGCTGTTGCCACGGCGGCTGCTATTTGGGGATGCGTTTGCCTGATAACACAAACCCATGAAGTTGGTTTCGATTTCCTGGGGTTGATCCACGGTCGTATTTGGACCATCATTGCGGCTCTCCTTCCCCGGTATTTGTCAAACTGCCGCAACTTTTCTTGCACCAAAAGCAGGAAGGATGGCCGCCACCCAGAGACGCAGAATTGGCGTCGCGCAGCCAATTCTGGCGACTTGTGGTGAAGGGGTTGAGAGCCCGCTTTCGTGGCCAGAGCTTGGATTTGAGGGACTCCTTTGATTTACCACATCAACAATCTTCCTTTGCGGATCTTTTCGAGGAACAAAGCAAGATAGGATGGGACCAATTCCTTAGGGGGCGGATTTCAACGAGCACCAGGACTCGTGTCTGATGAACAAGAATCTTAAATCCAACAAGCACGATAGGGGTCGTTGGGCTGCCAAGTTGGGTGATCTGCTCCTGCACCAATGGTGCCTTTTGCTTGGATTGTACGAGGAGGATACGGATGGAGGATGAGAAAAAGAAGAACTGATCATGGATGAAGTCTATAAGTCTGGAATGGCAGCTGCAAAGGCCTCTCTCTTCTTTTGTGGTTTGAGAATTGGCATCGAGAATTGGCATCCCGTTGTGGAAGAAACGATTTCGCCCCCGCAACATGAAAACCTCAGGCGAGCAGCAGTGTTGCTCCCGGTGCCCAAAGTAAAAGATTCGGTGTCCGGCTCGCATATCCATCCAAGGCTTGGAGCGCCTTTTTGCCCCGAGTGTTGTTTTAAAATGCCTGGAACTGGGGAAATGGAGCTGTTCGGGCTTCCTTGAGGCTGGCAAGGAGGCCCTTGGGTGCGGGCTGGCTGTTAGTTCCTGTTTGCTGTCTCCACGAGTCTGTGTATTCTAGCTAGCGAATCTGCTCAGGGACGCATGGTTAACAAAAATAGAACCCAGGAACAACTGTTACAATGGAATTCCATGCCCTTCTCCAGGCCCACACGCATTGCGCAAGTGACCCAACCAAGCCAATTCACTGGTATCTCCTGTGGTGTGGGCATCTGAGTCCCAATACCACAGCCCATCGAAGCAAAGTCCCTCAGTTGGAACCCGCCCGAGCCTCTGTCCTTGGGTGTGACAAAAAAACCATTGGAGGCTGCCTGCTACCGTGTACCCACTAATGCGCCGCTCCGGCTCACGCGCATCGTACACATACATCCACGCAAATGGCCCAAGGAATCCACTTGCCTGGGCTGTGTTAGGAGCGAGCCCTGTGGTTTAATTAAGGAACCCCTTCGATCTTCTACTGAAGGGCAAGTAGTCAGCTCAACCCCACCGGCAACCGAGAAAAGTTGTACGCATCCTGAACGATCGACCAGAACAATTGAAGCAACTTGAAAGCTAGCTCTAGCTACTAGCTAGCTAACTAAGGTAGCCAGCTACCCTCGAGTAGATGTAAGATCGACCCAGCTCGCCCACATGACTACACGATGTACGATAATGGCCAAAACCTTCAACAAGAGATAGATGTTACCAGCACGGTTGACCAGCAAAATTGCAATTGAAACAGCTACGAACGCGGACAAAACAATACTGAGTACCCAAACTCACTGAATCACTGGGAGAACTACTTTGGTGACTTCTTACAGTGTATTCACTTCTCGGTTGTTCGGCCACTGCAACATCCAGTGGCTTCTCTTCCATCTTCTCTCAACTTCTCAACACAACAAACTTTGACCAATGATGATGATGAATGGGTAATCAGTGAACAGTGAACGGATAAAGCTATTGATAAATCCAACCAGTGCAGCTTCAGTGCTCTTCGAGCTGGCAGTCCCCCAGCTTTGCTTTGTTCCATCGTTCCATAGCTCGTTCCATTAACCATCACCTTTGGCTCTTCGCATTGGATGTTTGGCAAGCTGCTCTGTGCTCTGGTCGCTGCCTCTATGATGCTATGATGGTTGTGGCTCGCCGCTGGTCGTGATCGTACCAAAGGAAAGCACGCAAGCACCTTCTCTTTTCTGTGGGCTTTGGGGCAGTAGATCCTACTTCGTCGATAGGATTATTGAAATCTTTCCTCGTTAACTCGCTTCTTACCTTCTTCTTGCTGCGTATTATGTCAGACTTGAAGAAGACATTCTTTATCTGTGATTCAGAATCTCATTGTGATCATGAAGCCACAGTATTAATAGGAGCCTCGTGTCGGACCGTATGACATACCACGGTACCGTACGAGTACATGTACAGTTCGGTATGTGGTGTGGAGCTTCCGGTGCGGCCGTGGGCTGTGGCTTTGGTGGGAGCTCCGGAGCTCGTTTCCTGTCTTCCTACCTGGTTCCTCTTGAGGCGTCACACCAACTGAGGCAAGATGGGATTAGCTTGCTCCAATGCATCGATGCTTTGATACTGTTTCGATGCTTGTACCGTAACCAAAGAAACCACACTCGTGAAAAATATTAGCTATAATAGAAGCGCGTTTATGTAGAATTTTACCATGTAACGGTACGGTAGCCTTACATTGCAGGCCTGGATTATACGTGGAAGAAGTGGTAGATTGGAAGTGGGGGGAATATACAGTTTCGCCATGCTGCATCGCTCAGTCATGATGCTCGCCCAGAACTCCAAGCCCTTCCAGCATATCCTTCAGTACCGAGATGCCTCCTCCAAAAGCCTCGGATCCTTTCTGGCTCGCACTTTCACGAAGAACTTCGTACAGGAAATAGATCGCTGCACGCTGGATACGGGTGTCTGTTTTGTGTTGCAGAAGCGCCGCTGTCACTTGGTTGATACAACCACTGGTGGCCACGATTCTTTGCCTAAGGCCCGGGGTGGCCGCGAGGTTTGCAAGTACACGTGAACCCAAGTATTGCATTTCGACCTCCATCGAGAACTCTTTCATGCTGGTCAGGACCAGAGCAATGCAGTCATCATAGCTCGTGACATCCTCGTTGTCGAGCGACATCTCGACCTCGTTCTCTTCTGGTTCAGTGACGAGACGCAATAGCATCAGGCAGTTGCGTTGTACCTTGATGACCTTGGGGTTATTCCGCAGACCCAACTGAATAAGTTTCCTCATGGGTGCGCCGCCAAGCTCGGGATAGTCTTCGAGGACCGCTCTGTTGCCGACGCGAACTCCAAACAAGATGCACATGCAGTTTCCAAGCACAGATGCGTTGTCCACGAATTCCTTGCTCACAGTGTAGATGGTGGGGATGGCATCAGGGTTTGCAACGAGGGCTGCCGTGGCGTTGTCGTGGTTCAGGTGTACGAGCCAGGAAAGCGCAGCAGCTCCATTGCAGTGGATGAGAGTATTGGAGGCATGATTTCTCATGGAGCTGATAATGACATCGACTCCCCCATGCTCAATGAGCTGTTTTCGGCATGCAGGTTCTTCCACGAGGTAGGAGAACAAAGAAACGCCGATCTCTTGAAGGCGGCCATCGATGGGGGAAGCTTGAAGGGTATCGAGGAGCGTCGCCATGCTGCCGGAATGGTCTGCAATCATACTGCGAAAGTTGGCATCTCGAGAAGCTGATCGTAGAGTGTCTAGTGCCAGGCAGAGCACCAATGAATCGGAATGCTTTCGAAGCACGGAGAGAAGGGCAGAGAGGCTTGCCCGGTCCATGGTACCAATTGCCTTGGTGTGGTTCCGCAAGGCAATGCATCCCTCCATTTGCATCTTGAGGTTCAGGGGGTTTCGTTCCATTGCAATCACCACGGGTTCGAGGAACGTCTTGAAAAGGGCCCGGGGCAAACTCTGGGGTACCGTAGTGGGTGCTTGGGATTCAAGCTGGGTAGCGGGAGCAAAAGTCAGGCCACTGGTCCTGCGGCGTTTATGGGCCGAGTCCACCACGCTGCAAAGGATGGCAATGTTGCGCTTGCGCTTATTTTGGTTCGTCATGGTTGGATCAGACTCTTTGTGCATGTGGGAGTGTAGATATGAGCTTGTCAAAAGAGCTTATTTTATGAGAGCAGAGTTGAGGTGTGAGGGTCGCCTACCACTGTGTTCCGTATTGTTTTGTGAAGTGGTTTACTTGCCTTTGCTGTAAAGGAAGGAAGGATGGAGCACATGCTTTTCAAGATTCTCGTTGAAGAGGCCAAAAAGGTAAAGTGTGAAGTGTGAACCTTCCACAAGCCTAAATGGAATAGAAGAGAAGAAAGGAATCATTTAATAGTCAAACCCGCAGGTAATGACAGTTAAGTCAAGGCAGACGATTGTTACTTCCCCGAAACTCTGGATAAGTCTTCTCCTTCTCGATTAGTTACCCGAGCTTAGTAAAAGAATCTGATAAAAGATCAAGAACTATAAGAGATCTCAGTTCCGAAGTCTTAAAGTGGGTGGGTGTCAAGGTTTATGTTTTCGCCCCAAAGCTTAGATATCCTCATCCCTCTTCGAGTATCACTCAGTTCACTCGTACTCACACAACACACAACTTCCTTCGTCCTGCTGCTGTTTCATTGAAATCTGCCACTACAACAGGTCGCATGCGGCCCGCAAAGGTTTTCCAAAAAGCGGGGATATGCTAAGGGCGTCTTCGTTTGTCTGACCGTGTTGCTGGACTGTAGCTGTCAAGCCGTACCACACTGGTCAAGTCAGGAAAAAGAAGTTTGCGGCCGACGTTGCAGGATAACCCCCTCCTCTTTGATAATCCAAGGCGGGGTACTCAGACTGTGCCGATGCTTGACACTATCATTACTACGTTGGTCATGACCAAGATGCAAAGCTTGGCTGGCAAGAAGCACATAGCTGGACTGTGAGGTAAATCAATGTTGTTGTAGTGTTGCTGCAAAGGTTGAACCGGTATGGACTTGCCTATCTTCCGGACTTTCACCTGGCCCACGTGATCTTCCGGCCGGATCTTCTCCCGTTCCAACTCTATAGCGATCTCTTGAACCAGAGTGTGTATTGAAACAACAGCAGTACGTTCACCTGGCCCATTTGCTGGACCGACATCAGCCAACTCCTCAACCTCATCGGGGTTATTCTCGCAACCATACACATACAGTACCCCAACACAAGGCTCAGCTATTGAACGATGCATGGCTCCAAGCCAGGACCAGCACCTGGTCAAACTCCAGAACACTCAACTTGACATACACCTGGCCCCGACACCGGGACCTAAAGTTCGGTCAACTTCGGGTCCAACTAGAACGATTGAATCGAATCACCGTTACTAATAGAGGGTCACATCTAACTGGATTTGCAACAGTCAACAACGATGGTAGTGGGGCTGCTGAGTGCGAGAGTTGGTGCCGGAAAACTCGGCCTGATCGTAACTATTAATTTTAAATAGCTAGCCCTGATGGCTGACTCATTCAATCCCGAATGTTCAGTCATAGCTTAGCTGGCGTGCACCGTGGAATGGCGACCTTGTCGGTCGTGCTTCCTTTCAGAAAGATTTAAGGCCCAATGAAGCCTAATGCTGCTTGAGCTGCTGCTAAACCTCTGTTGCATCCAACTGCTGACTCCATCCGAGCATTCATCCTCAACCGTGCTGTTGGATGAGTTGAATGGATGCCTTTGGAATAATATCTCCTGTCTTCGTTACAGCTAATCAACAGTAACAGTCTCTCTTTGCTGTCGACTGGGAGCAGAGATTGGATTGCGAAGGCGATTTCGTTTTGAGATTCGGTTTGAGGAGCCCAACTGTTCCGATTCCTCGCTACCGCTGGAAGAAAAAACGTGGAATAATGTCTTTGCCTGAAACCAGTTCAGATGTTCCGGCCGCTGTTGCCTCCTTGAAGAGGCCAGCCGCAATGAAATCTCTGCGAGCCAAAAAGACGCGTGTAATCGTCCTTGGAGCTGGAATGGCCGGACTGGCCGCGGCAAGAGAATTGCTGCAGCGAGGATACCAAGTGTTGGTGTTGGAAGCCAGGGACAGACCCGGAGGACGACTCAAGGGAGGTGTCAAGACCAACGACCGTGAAGGAGGGAATGAAGGAATGAAAACCTTACCCAACAAAGTGATTAACCCAGATGACGAAGTCGTCAAGCCGGTGCACAAATCCAGAAGAAAGGACACGACAACCCCTGTGGATCTAGGAGGCGCCTTAATCCACGGAATCGACGGCAATCCCATTTACGCACTCACACAGCAAATGGGCATTCCTACTCAGCCAGTCTCAGAGTGTCTTTTGTTCAATGAAACTGGTTGGCCTGTGGATACAAGAGAAGATGAGCGCATTTCGACCATGTTCAATGACTGTCTAGAAGAAACTTTTGAACGATTAGCTAGGTTGGAAGGAGCACCAAGTAGCAGTGGTGCTACCAATGGGGATACGCCATCGAACACTACCCAAGTCAACAACAGTAATGCCTCTGATCAACAACATGATGATCAACAGGAAAATAAGTCTGACACGGAAAACAATCAGCCTCCACAGACTGCTGAACCCGACAGACTTGTCACCATACCACCGCCAACCACGGATATTGCTGACTCCAAACCTGCTGCAATCACCTTGAACCAACGGCAAGAAAATAATCTCCAAGAGCTGCGAACGATATCTCCCCCCTCTCCTAGTGCGGTTAGTCAGGTGGAAGCAGGAAACGAAGAAAAGAAAACAGAGCACCCAAACAGCGACGACGTATCTACTATCGAGGAAGTTATTGTCACAACTACTCAAACATCCAGCGCAACGGCAGCAAATGTCGTAGATTCACGACAAGCAGCTCCTCGTTCAAACAATCAGAGCGACCCGCCCGAAACTATTCCTGCTGCTGCTGGCAGTGACGGCAGCAACAACGACAAGAGCCCGTCGTCTTTTGGAGATGTCTTCGACAAGGTCTGTGCTGAAAAGGGAGCGCCATCGGCCTTGCCCTTGTTTCAGTGGCATCAGCATAACCTCGAAGTAAGCTGTGGGGCATCCTTTGCTGATCTGGGGTACAAGTGGAATGACGATGAACCGTACGGTTTTAATGGTCCTCATGTCGCAGTAAAGACAACCTGGAAACCAATCATGGAGGGATTGGCCGAGGGAATCAACATTTTGTATCAAAGCCCTGTCAAGAAGGTTGTCATGGTAGTTCCAGATCCACCGCCGCAGCCAGAACCACAGGTGCTGACGCCCAGTGAAGCACAGCCAGGCCCCGACAATGCGGCAAAGCCCACGCGCAAACGAAAACTGACACCTGCACCCACCCCTTTGCCCAGCAGAAGATCGCGAAGACTACGAGGAGATAACGCAGACGCAAGACGATCATCTAGGGCTAATAAAGGGCAAAAGGTGGAACGATTCGTTGTGAATGAGTTTTCAACGGAAACCTACGAAGGGAACAAATCTCCTCCAAGCCAGCGCACGAATGGTCGAAGTCGTAAGGAGGAAGAAGAAGACGAAGGAATCCCTCACACAACAGTGCAGGTGACACTTCATGATGGGACAGTGTTGGAAGCAGAGGCTGTCGTTTGCACTCTGCCGCTTGGAATTCTCAAGCTGGAGCCACCACCAGAGCCCAAGCTTGACAAGAGCAACAAACAAGTCACAGACGAAGCTGAAGACGGCAGCGACGACGCTTCCTGCGCCGTCAGTTTCTACCCAAGCTTGTCGGAACGAAAGCAGACTGCTATTAATCGTTTGGGCTGTGGCCTCTTGAACAAGTGTATCCTCTCCTTTCCGCATGTCTTTTGGCAAGATTCCGACTTTCTTGGGGTAGCCCATCCTGCAAAGTCATACCTGGTTCTGAACGCAGCTGTGTTCACGAACAAGCCAATCTTGACGTTCATGTACGGCGGGAGCTTTGCCGAGGAAATCGAAGAGTGGACCGATAATGAAATTGTTGCGGATTGCATGGAAGTCGTTCGGATCATTTGCGGAAAGCGAGACATTCCTGCGCCCATCGACTACGCCGTCACGCGGTGGGGACAGGAACGCTACTCACGCATGTCCTTTTCCTACGTCCCTCCTGGGGTCGATGGGACCGAGGAATTCAAGGCTATGAGTGAGGCTGTGTACGACCCGCTTGTTCCTCAGAAACCAGTAATAATGTTTGCTGGCGAACACACAACTCCCTTCCATCCCTCGACAATTCATGGGGCATTCTTGTCGGGGATTCGAGAGGCATACCGCTTGGACCTTGTCGTGGAAGCCGAGGCGAACGAGTTTTTGGAATTCGATGACGAACACGTGTACCAGCATACGTTTGCTGTTCGAAAATTGTTTCAAAACGTCAAGTCGCCGGTCGCCAGGGCACCAAGGCAGAGTGCCAGTTCATCAAGTGAGACAAATGAAAGCGGTTCTGAGCAGCAGGCCGATAGCCGTGGCGCACAGCCGCAAGCGAACGGTTCGTCAGAGCAGCAACAAAACAGAAGAAGGCAGCACCGTAGACGAGGAGCTGCCACTGTGACAAACACGAGCATGAGCCTTCGAGAGAGGCCGCAGGCGGTCTTGCCAGAACAAACCGCGCCGCCCCAAAGGAGGAAAAAGGCGACTCAGGCCCAAGCCAACAATGGCACCTCGGTGACGCCACACGCGAAACGAAGTCGTCGCTCGTCGTATGCCATGGGCGATGGGACAACTCCCTCGAGCAATGGCAAGGCTCCCGCCGTCGATGCGGATAACGAGCAGAACGACAAGTTGGTGGCGTCTCTCGAGAGACGTACACTCATGCGTGCCTTGGAAAGCTACGGCCACAACTATTCCTACATTCAGTCCGTCGTTCTCCCTATCTACGGAAACGCGTCGGTTCAAAGGACGTTGCCTCAAGTAAGGGCTCGATGTCAACAGCTTATCCGTTCCATCATGTCTACTGCTTCTGCAGGACTCCCCAAGAAGCTGCTCGACTCGTGGGTTTCCAAGGAGGTTTACGTACCCCCAAAGATAGAGGAGAAGCAAAAGAAGAAAGCCGCCAGCACGCGGAGAAAGAGGCCTGAAAAGAAGCCTCCGGCTGAAGGCACGCGCAAATCTTCTCGACACCAGAAACAACGCACGCTGATGAACCTGTAGGCGGCATCTTATTCACTTCCACTAATCAATACCGTATATTCATAATCAAAGGTTTTGGATGGGACTTCTAGCTACTAGTAATTGTTGCTCTGCAATGTTTGCCTGCCGGGGCGGAGCTCGCATGATTGAGGTCTTTGACTCATCTCCGCCGTGGGGTTTGCCACCCATATTGCCTAGCAGCCAAGCAATGATGTACCGGCAGCTAACCAAAAACTTCATCAGAGTTCGATATCTAACTTTATATATGAAATTGATTTAATTGTGCTCAGTGTGCTCAGCCAAGCATAAGTCCAAATAAACGATGCCTGAATCTGCCCTGCGATTTGGCTGCGTTGCAACGATCCCTTGCGATGTTGAACCGCAGCTTTCTGTGCCTCTCTTCTTACTCCCAACAAGATGATTGCCATTATTGTGTTGTGTCCTCGGCCGTTCGTCCCTTTCCACCGCCTCGAGCTGTCTCCCTCTGGTGGCATTTTCTGCTTGTATGCCTGGGTTGGTTGCGCGCTGTTTGACTACAAGGTCGGCCGTCTCCTGGCAGCAGTTTCCTGGAATAGTTGACTCATGTAAATCATTCCATCTTCTCCCGTGGCAGTTCCCACTCCAAAGCGTGCAAATCGATCGCTCAAGATATTGTTGCGTTCCGTGTCGCTCACCCCCACCATGATCATTTGATGAATGACTCGAATAGAGGGACCTCTTTGTACATTTTCGGCCATGGTGGCACTGGAAATGGGGCTTTCCAGTACCTCGCAGACCTGCGCCATTTCGTCGGCGTGCTTTTTGGCAATGGCATCCAAATGACGACAACGAACCAAGGGATCCTTTCCACGATGAATTCGTTCACGATTGACTAGAATGAGATTGCTGGAAAAGGCTCCCGTGCTGGGCAAGTCTCGCATTCGCTTTTGTCGTAGAGCTTGAGAGGGTGTGCGTTCCCAACGAATGGTCTGGTGGTCGCCTTCGTCCGACGACGAGTCCATGGTGCTCGTGGTACCGTCATCTCCTTTCTTGGAGGAAGACTTTGACGATGAATACTTGGAACGATTGCGAAGACGGCGAAAGGTGTTGCTGTCGCCCGTGAAGGAACGGACGATGCTGGTTTTGCGGAAACGTTTCAACATGCTCGGCATCGTTGCTGTTGGATTAGTAGTTGTGGACTTGGTTGGTTCTTGGATTGACGGTTGTCTGTGTTGTGAAAGTGGTTGATTGGTTGGCCTGTGAAGAAGAAAGGTTCCTTGGGTGACCTCTTATTGTCCAGTACGGTCTTGATCTTGATGAGTGTTGCTTGTGAGCTTGTGAGAGGCTATGCGGTTCTGTCTATCTTGACTTGGTTGTGATTATTGTTCCTTTGGTTCGAGCTTGTCCCTGTGTAGGAGTTTGTGTTGCGGCCCAAGAATACACACGGTAATGGATCGAGATCAACGCCAAATGATATTGTAAGCAGTGCTGCCTTTGTGTTACCGGTTACCTTGTAAGAAATGCAAGGAATTTGTGTTTTTGTTGTTGTTGGTATTTGGTATCACCTCGGCGGAATTGAGTGAAAACTTCTTGGAGTACGGGTCTTCTCGTTCATTCGTTGTTAGAACATGCTTTTTAACTCACAGTCTGGCTTAGTAACCCAGTTTCGGTCATCCTTGACAACTGTTTAAATGTGTTTTTACCCTTGATGACACTTTCCGATTTTTATGATTAGAGTATTTAAATAGTTAATGCTCCCTCCGAAAGGTTCTTCATCCTGCATTTATTTGTCCAAGATTTGTGCGATGACTTTTATATTTTTAGCCTCGGTAAATCGCTACTTTGAGGACATTTATTTTTAAACATGCAGTAATGGTACGTACCGGTACCTGAACAGACCAACTTGTACAGTACCATGCATGGTACCACTGATTTCAAAGACTCTCGAAACCTCAATGGCCAAGAGAGAAAGGCTTCCGCAGTTGAATGACAGCTGCGTACCGGTACAGAGCCGTCCACCTGACCAGCCGCAGAGCCGCTGGATGCAGTGGTGTGCTGTTTCTGATCACTGCTGCCTGGAGCATTTCCTTTTGGGCTGTCCTGGGTACAACTGCTGCTGCATGAGTTGCTGGGCTTGACTAGCAGTTCTTTTCAGCAATGCTGACCATTTTCTTGGGTCAGTAGGTTCTTCCCGCGGAAATCCACCACAAATCTCAGCATGGACCTCACTGTTTCCTTTAGACAGCTGGAACTTGTTCCCAGATTGTGGATTGTCACCAGGGGCGGGAGTCCGGTAATTTTTGAACAAGACAAGTGATGCACCCCTTCCCATTGTGGCACCACGTTTGGCCTTTCTCGTGGACCACCATCAGCACCCATTACTGATTCGATTCTGGAGGGACCATTGTAGCTGCTCTCCTTTGGTCTTCTCTTGACGAGCTAGTAGCCTTCATGTTTTGCCGCACTATCGTCACCTTCGTCCAGAAAGCTTTCGGCACCGTCGTGCCTGTCTGCGATTGTGAGGGGCTCCACTCGGTCCTTGTCGACGTTCGGCCTGGCAGCTTCAACCTTTCCTTTGCGTGATGCTTTTTGGTCCCAACTTCTATCACTTACCTCATTTCCCGTTGCTCCGCCTTGCATCGAAGCGTCCGGTTGGCTGCCAGTGTTGCAAGTAGCCACGTCTCCATCAACAGGAAAATCATCATTGTGGCCATCGTCATGCTGAATGCTCTCATCATAATCCGCGGCAAATTCACCAATACTGGATGAGTCATGGGGTTCATGTTGCTGTTGTGTTACAGTGGTAGTCGTGGTAGTCGCTGGCGCAGCAGGAGTTGTTGAGGGTTCTGGTTGTTGTTGCTGAGGTGTTGCGTTCTTCCCTGCCGTCGACCGACGTAAAAACGACAGAGCACCCCGGTTGCTCGTGGTGGAGCTTTGTCCAATTCCAAACTGTGTGTGGCGCCGTGTCTGTCTTTGATTGCCTCCCTGACGATGACGAGGCACCACCCTATCACCGTACATGGCCCGTCGGAAGGCCCACCACTTGCTTTCCAAGGCGAAGTCCTTTCGTACTCTCAAGTAGGTTGGTCGAACGTAAACCTGCGACAAAAGATAGCAAAGACAAAGAAAGAAGTTTAAAAGAGCTGTATGGACCACTTCTCTTTTTGCTTGCTTGTTTTGCTTTGCGAGAACGACGACGTACCAGTAGATTGAGTATTCCCTGTGTCGGAAATGTCAGTGATTGCAGGACCAACAATGGAAAGATCTCATCTTCATCCTCGGCATCGTAATCTCTACTTTCCATGATGCGCACAGCCATGGCCGGCACATAGGTGATCAAATAGGCTCCGACATAGAGAAACGCTTGTGTGGCCACTGCACGTATTCGCTTCAATTGGGGGTCTTCAGAAGATGGTGCCACCGACCGTCGTAGTGAAAAGCTTCGTTTGGGTTGAGTCTGCTGTTGTGTGCTCGCCTGCACTATTATTTGTCGTGTCGTTGCATTTTGTCTGCCTCTTTGTATGGTGGTGTAGACATGACAGAATACCAATAGATTGTTGCACAGAATGAGTGTAAACGTGAGAAGAGACGGCAATCCTCCAACGATCCAAGCCACCAGTTGCGATTGACAGCATTCTCCCGTTTCGCCCTCGTTGCATCCACATCCTTCGGGCCATTTGGAGATCCAGCATCCCATTCCCACGCTGATTTCCCGGTACCATCCCATGACAGCTCCAACAATGGCCGTGATGAGTGGAAATCCAATGGATATCACGTGCATGACTGGTTCGTAGTGTTGCGCAAAGATTCGATCCGGCACACCCCATCGCACCGTCATGACAAAGAATATCGAGAGCATGCCATTGTACCAGGCGGATACAAACGTTAATTGTTGTGCCACTCCCAAAGCACTGCAGGTTGCATCCGTCCCAATCGCCCAGACTCGCTGGGATGTTTGTTGAGGCAATAAAAATGCCTGCAAGGGGAATTGAGCACTGGCCATCAAATCACTGCAGCTCAGTCCCAAGAGGATTCTTCGATAGGGAGTTTGCCATTGTCGCTGCGAAATCACCATGTAAATGATTTGACTAGATCCAAGGAAACTCAAAAGAGCCGGGAGGAACGGCAGTAACGAAAGGACCTTTTCTTGAGTGTCGGAAAGATTGGAAATGTGATCCGATCGCAGCATAGCTGTGGGCGCCATGGTGGTCGTCGAGTTTGCCATCTTCAAATAATGCCCAAAACTTTCTCCCACTTTCTCGAATTCTCACTGCTTGGATCCAACCTAATAGCTAGCTAGCTCGCAGCTCACCATTAACAGATACTACTATACCGGTAGCCAATCCCATCTAGTCTAGTTTAGTGCTCCAACAGAGAAGTAGACTAAGTAAGTAACCATGCAGCTTTCTCGCGATTTGTCGTGTTTGCGTAGTGGGCACTTTGGCAATTGGCAAAGAAATAAAACCGCAGAGCGGGTTGACAACAGCAAGAAGAAATGACAAGATTTCTTTTCTCGAAACACCGCCTCGTCATTCAACGATAGATTGCGACACTCGTGCCTCTTGCATCATCTTACAGTATTCCTTCTGGTTCATCGCAAAGCAAGCTATTAATAAGAGCCGTGCATTTCTTTGTTTACACTGGCTAGCAACCCTGTCTCTGTCTCTGTCCCTGTCCTGATTGATTGATGAGTTCCAATATTACCAACAACAGCGACGAGTGCGACAAAGGACCAACCATGGAGGCGCAAAAAGACGACGATGATGATGTCTACACAACGAGCTGCCCGATTTGCTTTGCGGAGGAAGTGTCGTTGGCCAAGTCTCCCACATGTGGTCATGCCTTTTGCATTGACTGTCTGAGACAGTTCTTTGCTCTGCCAGAAGAAGAAGAAGAAACAACAGCAATCACCAGTCAGCAAGATCCACAGCAGGATGTTGACCAAGAAGCGGAAGAAGAAGAGTCTGCAAGCACCCTCCAATTTTTGCTGCAGAATCAAAATGCGGACAATATTGCCACCATTGGACGATGTCCTCTGTGTCGAAACCCCATCAGTCTGTTGACCATGGTACACAGGCTCACGGGTCGACCTGTGTGGACCAGTGGCCGTGTCACGCGCTTGGAGGAATCGCCACTGGCAGGGAAAATATTTGCCACGAGACGAGGAATTGGATTCAACAGTTTCCATTTTCCACCTCATGACAACCACCACAACAATAATACAGAACAACAACAACCCAGCCGTCCTTTTATGCTGTGGAAAGACGACAAGGCACTGTATACTCACCACAACAACAACAATACGAAAGAGGAACAAACCAAGTATTACTTGGACCAAGGTTGTTTCTACTTTATTCCCAAGCGAACATTTCATGGTACCGTTTCTCTCCCAGATTCACACGGCAATCCACAACAACATGATGTGCTATTGTGCTTTGCACCAAATCATTCCTCCATCAATGGAGGATTCATGCTGCGACGGGCCAGTCAACCACCAACACCCAAAACATCATCATCAGAACAACCACTGCCATTGTGTTGTTACCAACCCTTGGATGGATCTTGGTGGGTCAGCTGGTATCGAGAAAAACCTCAGAGTCCGGTGGGAACACCCGAAGCCGACCGACTCATCTTCAACGAGGATCAGATTCAAATCAAGGACAATGTGGTATACGTCCCTGGTGGGTTGCAATACTTGATTCGATACGAAACAGATCAAATATACTTTCATTGGCCCGAATTGGGCGTCTTGCAAACGCTCGATCCAAAATGTGATTTTCGCAATGCTGACAACAACAATACTGACGACGACAATAATACTGACGAAAATACTGACGACGACAGCCATGAGACCAAAATCCCACCACCCATTGGATACGAGCTCCACTGGCACACTACCAGCAAACAGCAACCCTTTATTTGTTGGAAGCGAGAGACTATTGAAAGTCCACCCACAGGCACCGCTGCTGCCGTGGTGGAATACTTGGGTCTCTCGGGAGGACAGCAACAGCGTATGATTGACCCTGCCTTGAGCGCCATGATTGGACCATGGTGGTACCGAGAAGTACGGCCCGTGGCGGCTGTCCAAACGAACAAGGATGGACGACCTCCTTATGTGGCCAAGCAGCTCTGGGGCAATAGTTTCTGTCAAGGAAAAACCGTGGGTCTTGCCTCGTATCATTTTACTGCAACAAGCCAAAAAGAAGAAAATGGCAGCCACAACAATGGACAACAACAACACCATGCCTACATTTCGTATGAAAACGAAAAATGCTATCAATGGCCACCCCTAGACGATGGATCACCCATTCCAGCGCAAGTGTACTTTCACAACATTGCTTTCGAACAAGTTCAACAACCCACTCGAACTGCACCTGGATCAGAAGACAATAGTGGCACGGCAGAATCTATTACGCATGTCGTGTTTCGTGGGACTATTGAATGGCTTCATGACTATGGCACTACGTGGCAAAACCATAAGCGATGGGAGTACGAGATGCAGTTTGATTCGCAATTCACATGCATCGTGTCCGGTACCGTTCACTGCATTACGGAGTCGGATGAAAGACGTGAAATGTCCACGTTCGGTACCAGTTTGGTCTACATCAATGCCGGTATTGTGGGCGCCTTTGATATGTGGATGATGAATAATGGAGCTGCTTCTTCCAGCAGCGATAACCATGTCAACCAAAATGGAGCCGTGGAAAATGGGGCAGATGAGGAGAGTAGCACTGCGCCGCAGCAAGAATCCGATTCCTATCAACGTTACAAGAATCTGTCGCGTGATTTGCGGGTACGACTGCAGGAGGAAGGTGCTTCGGTCAGAACTGTAGCCATCTTGAATGCAGTCCTGACACGGTCGCAACAGCCAGGAGGCGAGTCACCTATAGACTATAACGTATAGAGATACTAGTTTTGCTATTAATCCAGGCAGCTTGAGGCACTGAAGAGCCTTCTATTCATTACACAACCCAAGCGCATTAGTTAGGACACAACTGCAGCCGGAACGTCATGTACAGAACAGTTACTGGTAACAATTCTCATTGATTTGTTGCTATCTTTGCTTGACAAATCCATTGTATGGCGGACACCATATCCCTTGACAGGTATCCGAGGTGACATCTGGCTGAAACTGGACCGACCATGCCCCCACATCTGGCTTGGATTTCCAAATGATGTCGCCTTTAGCATCGATCAAGTAGTAGGTTTGTTTGTACCAGTAATCCTTTTGTGCATTGGCAGGAGCCAATAAACGGGCATCTTCCAAATCAGGATCCAGAAATTCTTTGGCAATCTGCTGTGCCTTGTCCAAGTTGATTGCAAAATTGTATACAATGGTGTGGTACCGCACGTTGGGATTGTCCCGTCGCTGATTACGAAAGAATCGTTCATCATCCATTTCAAAAAACTTGACGGAAGGAGGACACTCCACCACATTGCCTTCCCACGCCAACCCAGACCAATCGACGGCGTCCATGTCGGTAAATCCCATTTCATAAAGGGTTTGAGTGGAGACTCCTGCTCCTGCCCCTACATCCAAGGCTCGGTTTCGGTTGGGATTGTTCTTGGCGCCAGAGCCAGATTTTTTTCGGCCAATCGGGGCAATGGTTTCTGCCAGTACATCGTAGGCTTCTTTGGGAGAAACATTGGTGTCCTTGGATGCAACGATCGAGTTTGTGTACTCTTTCAGATTGTAGGCTTTGGTTCGGAAGGGTGTCATGGGATCTTCAGTAGCTTGGGATGCCAGTGGATGGAACGTCAGAATTGCCGGGAGTGCCAAAGCCGACTTTTCCAGCCACTGTCGCCGAGAAGATAGTTGACTTTGTTGTCCTGAAGGATCTTGTGGATCCAACCGAGAAAAAAGGCTCGAGCCTCGTCCAAGGGTCTTGTGTGACTTTGTGTGCATTTGGAAGGCCGTTGGTCCATCCCTGGACGAGGCAACGAGCCCCTCTGCCGGTTGCCATGATATCATGGACGTCAAAGCCAGAATAAACCAAGGTAATTGCTTCTTTTTCATCATCGGTACAGTACATAGAGATGGAAGGGAGCTTGCTTTGGGATAAACTGTTGCAGAAGAGAAGTGAGTTGCTTCTTTGGAAGCCTTGTCGGCACCAAGCAAGGATCCCAAGCTTGCTGATGCCAACAAAAATGACAGTGACGTCAGTTGTTAGAGCCAACAAGGCTGCGTGGATATTCAATAATACGAGTCGAGTCACAAGTCAGCCTCCCATTCTCCAAAACTTCCATGATCTTCAAAGAAACATCATGGAAGTTTGCATCTTGTTGCAAGGCAACCCAATCAGTGTTGTCAAGACCATCGGGACATGACACTGCAGCTTTATAGGCCACTCAAAATACTGAAACTATCCAGAGAATCGCAAGAGAAGCTAATCAACTCCTGTAACGAAATCTACAGAGCCTGCCAACACAATACCACATTTCAGAAGCACCATAGTCTAATATCCCAAGCACTGATGATTCCCATGGAGGATGAAAGATTCAAACAACCCAAAAGCCGCCACAGAGCTCAGCCTGTGGTTTTGAGATTCGGCAGTTTGTGCGTAAACTCACTTAGTTCGGTCACTTTTGCTAAATAGTACAGTAGGCTATATTCTGCCCCCGCCCCTCCCATCACCCTACCGGTAGATCCCATTTCCCAGGTTACTCTCGCAGACAAGTAAGTGTGCCGCCAAGGATTGGTGGGTTGGAACCTTCCGGTACACTTGCGAGTGGGCAACACCTGTTTGAGGTCATTGTCGGAGGACTCTACGGCTAGTAACTTGATAACAAAGAACTAGAATGAAAAGAGTGAGAGGATCGCTAATCGATCCTCTGTGGCTACCGGTTGACTGACAGACTGTAAGTCGCGTGACACCCTCCCCTGATTCGGACTGCGGAGCAGTTCGAAGCACCAAGTAGAGCAAATGGAAGGAAGGATAGAAAAAAAGGTAGCATAGAGTAAAAGGGAACATAGAAGAGAAGCCAACCCCAATGGAAGTCTTGAATATAGAAAGAAATAAAGGTTAGTAGTAACCCATCAGCCGGCGGGCATGGCGTTCGTGAAGAATCCAGCCTAAGGGCTTGGTGAGGTCATCAGAGGGATTGATAATCCCAGGAATGTACCGCATGATAATATCACCGGCATCTTTCCAATCTTGAATGGCAAAATGCTGAACCAAATTGCCGGGACCGATCCGTGGGGATCTTAGCATTGATCATATTGATGGCAGACTGATTGTCTTCATGCAAAGGAGTGGGTCCAAGCTGGGCAAAACCAAGGTCTGCCAGCACAGCGCGCAAGTATTTGGCATGCTTGGCGGCTGCAACAGAAGCCAGGAACTCTGCTTCGGTAGAACTTGTAGCAGTAATAGACTGTGTCTTGGATTTGTAGGAAATAGCACCACCACAGAGGACAAAGGCGAAACCGGTCGTAGAGCGACGATTGCGCAGGTCATTGGCATGAGCTGCATCGACATAGCCAGTAAGTTCAATGGGATTGGAAGGGGTAGGAAAGGAGGGAAGGTGGGATGGGTAGAGAGGTTGCTGGTGGGGAGTGGGTGGTAGAGAAGGATCCATGGAAGGTTTCTGAAAGATGATGCCCCAAGACTTGGTTTGACGAAGGTACTTAGCAATTTTCTTCAACAAGGTGTAGTGAACATCATGGGGGCAATGGGAGAACTTGCTCAGGGTGGTGAGGGCATAGCCGATATCAAGCCTGCAGGTAACATATGCAAACAGAAGTTCCCCAAGTAAAGTGCGGTAGGCAAAACCATGTTTCTCTTGAAGGGTGTGATGGGCAGCGGTGTGCTCCAAAGGGCCAGCCTTTGAGTACATTTCAGCAATGGAATCTGGAGGAATGGGACTGATAGGTTTGGAAGGGTCAGGGACTGTGGGGGTAGTCCAGCCATGGGATTGAAGGACACGATCAATGTAGCTTTCAGCAGAGACAACAATGGAGTCGGTATACTGAGTGACATCCAAGCCATTGTAGTCATTGAGAAGGCCAAGATACTGAAAGGGAGGTTCGGTTTCAGAATAAGGGAGTTGAAGCTGTTTGCCAATCCGAGCGAAGATGTCTTGGGCAATGGATTCATCTGGTACAGCAAGAGCAAAATCATCCACTTGACGAAGGAGAAGAATTTGGTGGACTTGAAAAGAAGCACTGTAGAATGGTTGTTGTGGGTAGTGAACTTGAAGTTAAAAAATCAGGGGATGGAGGATGGAATGATGTGCTGCTTCCAAAGTCGGCGGATTCGGATTCTTGAAGCGAAGGAGGGCATACAAGGCTGCGTCAAGCTGTGCCAGGATCTCCATACCAGGTAGCATAGCAATAAGTGACCAAAGGTGGATTCGGGGTGGGGGGGCCCCATCGGACATCAACAATCACCTGTTCTTTGGGCCGCCACGATGCGCGTGTGGGTCCCCGATTCTCTGGAGAGTCAGAGGGCAGTGTTGTAGAGAACAGAAGGGACTATTCAAAAGGTGAAAATCGATATAATTGATTTTTGGTGACAGGGGAGAATTTGATTTTGTTGCAAGTGGCTTTGTAGTAGGAATAGAGTTTGGCAGGACTGGAGTTCTTTTGAATGGAAGAGATGAAGGTAGGTTTGAAAGAGAATCAGTTTGAAGTTGGAAACAAAAGGTAGGGTGTGTGCAATTGACCTTGAGAGTTTTGGAGATTGTGTGGGAAAAAGGATTGAGGGTGAAGTAGAATTGATCAACTGTAGTTTCAGTGGATTAGCCGGGGGAAAAAAAAAAAAAAAGGTTTTTTCAACCCCCATTCACCCTGAGGAAGGCCCCGTTTGGGGGGAAAAAAGGAATTTGAAAAAACAAACATTGGGAGGGATAGAATCAAGAGGGAGGTCATTCATGCCTTCATCAAATCGGGCATGTTTAGCAATCTTGACCCGATTGGTTTCGGGATCAAACCACAGAATGTTGGAAGTGGTGTTGGGAAGGAAACCAAGAAAAATACCTTTACGAGAATTGGGCTTGAATTTTGCCTTGCGTCGACCAGGTGGGCGAACCCAGACACGACAGCCGAAAGTTCTGAAATGCTGGAAGTCGTCAGTTTTACCAGTGGCCAAAAGCAAAGGACAGGCTTGCTGATCTTGTGATGGGAGGACATTGTCAATTCTGAGATAATGATGGAAAGCATAGGGCCAGAACTTGATGGGGAGGTTGGCACCGGTGAGAAACGCTCGAATGGCATTCCCAACAGTCAGATGTCCACGTTCAACAGGAGCATTTTGATTGGAGGCATCAGCACCAGTGGGTCGAATATCATAGCCAAATCGTCGGAAGAGTTTGATGACCTCGGGATTGTGGTACAATTCTCCACCTTGATCGAGAAACACATACTTATCCGTACACGTAGGAGCATGGTTTTCCAGAAAATGTCGAAGCCACTCGATAGGAGAGGCTTTAGACACACGTGTATCACCATGTTTCATTCTTGTGAAATGATCCGTAATCAAGATCCATGAGGTTTCACCATGAAGACCTAAGTAATCAGATTCTCGAGTGGAATCAGCAGACTTGATACCGGAGAAGGAGAAATCGATTGAAAGACCTTGATAGGGTTGTGTAGCAGTTCTGGTTGAATTGGGGCCAGCGGATGTTTTGGTTTGTTTGGAGCGAATGCAAGTCGGGCATTGATCTAAAACTGAATTCATGTGTTTGAATTTGGGCACTCCTTTGACATGCTTGTGGGCATGAAAGAGGTAATAGTCACTAGGATGGCCAGTCTTTCGGTGCATAGAAGTCTTCAGTA